CCCAGTCCCCCCCTTTCCCAGCCACACGCCTCCAGCAGAGCACACAGCTCCGGTCCCTCCGGGGAACAGAAAAGGGCTGGCTCCTGGATCTCCTCTGCACCCCGCCAGCCCCCTGAGGATTGAAGTCAGACTCCAGGGAGGACTTCCAGGCACTCAGACTGTGGGAGAGAAGGGATGGGGGCTCTGTCCTCAGCACCCCCCAAGGTATTAGTGCTCTTTCCCTCTCCGCCGCCCCCCCCCCCCCGCCCTCAGCCCCTGCCCTCTCCCTCCCTGCAGTTTTCTCCCCGGAGGTGGAGGGAAGGAAATGTCAGGGATGATGGATTGAGAAGGGGCAGCTGGGGTCAGCAGAGGAGGGACCGCAGGGCCGCAGGGGAAGAGGAGCAGAAGGGGGAGGGGCCACAGAAGAAAACAGAAACAGAGATGGAGACGGAATGAGCGGAGAGAGACTTAAACACGCCACGCGGAGGGAGACGGGAGGGAGGCACTGAAATGGGGCCAGGGATGGTGCCGGAGGTTTGAAGTCGTCCTCCGGCCCCAAAGCGGCACACAAAGCCAGGAGAAGGGCCGCCTGGGACGTATGGAGAGAAAACCAGGGATTGAAGGGCCTTGGGGCCGATAGTGACAGTCGGGACCAGAACAGGGTGCGGCGGGGGCAGGAGACAGAGACAGAGAGACAGGGGCCCAGGGCTTGGGCCCAGAGAGGCAGAGAGACGGGGAGAGACGGGGCGGGGGGCAGGGAGGGGGACAGAGACTGAGAGAGATGGAGAATGAGAGACAGAAAGATCATCCGAAGAGAGACACAGAGAGGAAAAGATGGAGGGCGAGACACATGAAACAGACAGATGGACAGACACACAAACACCCCAAAGAGGGACACGGGGTGGTGGGGGGAGGGTGAGGAGGAGGGGGAGAAAGAGGAAGAGAAGCGAGGAGACCCAGAAAAAAGACCCAGAGGCACGAAGAGAAACTGGCAGAGGGAGACGGACGCTGGAAGGACAGGGGGACAGGCAGGGAGGGGTCTGGGCGCCCCTCCCCCGCCGGGTCAGGCGGGTCCTCCCGGTGGCCTCCGCCAGCCAGGGCTAATGGTATGATTGCTTGGCAGGGCAGCAGGCAGCGGGTGACAAATGAACCGGCCGAGTCGCCGGCTCCAGTGATGGATGGCCTGGGAGGCGTGTGGAGGGGCGGGAGTGGGGTGGGGGATCCCAACAAGATAAATATTTCCTCCTCCTGGAGCCCGGCCAGGCGGGGGGGAGGGCCCGAGGACTGGGGCGACGTGTCCAATGAAAGGTCTGGGCGGCGGTAGGGGAGGGTGGGGCAGAGACAGGAAGGCAGAAACCCCAGGCAGAGGCAGGGGCGAGGGGGGACACACAGGCCTAGAGACAGAGGTCCCCAGAGACGGTGTGGGGGTGGGGGAGGGAGAGAGACAGAGCGAGAGAACGAGAGACGGAGAGATATGGAGACGGAGACAGACTGGACAGAGAGAAAAAGATTCAGCGACAGACACACACACACTCAAGACAGTAACGGAGACCCGGGAGGCCCCCCAAGTAGGATCCTCCACAGCAGACACACAGATCCTTGGAGAGTCCTAGAGGGAGGGAGGAGGGGCAGAGGGAGACCTGATGATAAAGAGGGGAAACCAAGGCAAGGGCCAGCAGGACCCAGAGAGAAGACGGGGGAGGGGGGACACCTGACCAGCTCCTCACTCACCCCTTAGCTCCCGAAGCCCCCGAGAGCAGATCCTATGGGTCCCTGGGGGTGGCATGGGGGGCCCTGGGGGGAGCAAGACGGCCTGCCAGGGCCTCCCAGAGGTCTGCAGCCTCGCTGCGGGGCACCTGTGCTGGGGAGACCTGGGAGGTCCCCCAGGTGTACTGGTGGAGGGCTCACTGGGGTGGGTATGGGTGGGGCCTTCCTAGCTATATGGTGGGGGCAGCTGGGGGATCCCAGGGCCCGTGCTCATTTGGGAGTCCCTTGCTGGCACACAGGGGCCCCAGCGTCACCCTCGCAGACTCAGCCACGCTGGGGTCAGCAAGCACAGGACCCAGGCCTGGGCCCCGTCTGCTCCCTACCCTGGGAGCCCAGGGTCAGAGGGTCTGAGGGTCCAAGGACCATTTAAGGGAGACAGTTCAGCTGGGCAGAGGGGGCCTGAGGCCAGAGAGAGACAGAGAGAGATGGGGCCGCCTGTGTCACAGACAGACAGACAGATAGACAGACAGAGGGGGGCAGGAGTGAGAGAGCCCACTGCCCCTCCCTCCTCCTCCCTCCAGCCTTCCCCATCCATTTTTCTCCCAGACACTCTGATTTTTTCCCTTTCCAATGTCTCACTCTTCTCTTTAATTAAAAAGATGTATGCCCGAGAGTCCAAGCCCCTCCTCCTTGTTCTGGGGGCGGGAGGGGCCTTCTGCACTCAGAGCCGTGAAAGGAACAACCCTCCCTCCTCCTCCCAGACGCACCCCCACGTGCACCTCCCCGACCCCTGCCCACTTAAGGCACGGCCACCTCCGGCCCTCTGTCCACTCACCCCTCACTGTCAATCAGGCCACACTTCTTGTTTCCAGATCAGCCTGAGCCAGGGACCTCAGCGGACCCCCCAGAACCCAAAGTGAGGCTGGGGGCCCAGGCCCTCTGGTTCCCCACCCTGAACCCCAGCTGAGGGCCTTGGTAGGGGGGACACACACAGGAGAGCTTTGCATCTTTAATTAAAAAGTGATTTAAATTAATTTTCTGCTCCAAAACCCCTATCTGGGAGGCGGGGTGCGGGGTGCCAGTGGCAACGATGAAAGGGCCCCCTTCTCCTCCACCCTCTTTAAAGGGCCAGCATCACCTGCGGGACAGCTGCATACAGGAGCTTGTGGGGGAGCGCCAGGAGCCCCCAGAGTCCTGGCACCCCCTAGTGTAACTGGTTCCCCATCATTCCCACCACCTAGGCTCATCGCTCATCAAGCAGATAAGCAGGCTGAGGCTCAGAAAAGGACTGGGCCTGGCCCCACCCACAGCCCCCCCGCCTGCCCTCTCCCACTGGGAATGACCTCTGTGCTGACCTCAGCCCGTGGGGCTGTGCCTCCAGCCCGCTCACCCCTGCCCCAGCCTGGGCAGTTTTGTTTAATCTCCACCAGAGGAGAGGACGAGGGAGAAGCAGGTTGCTGCTGAGGTAGAGCTGTTTACGAGGGTCGTAAAAATACCCTTAGAGCCCAGCAGGGGTGGTGCACTGCCTCCCGCTGCCTGCTCAGCCTCCACCTCTCTCCGCTCCCCCGCTTATAGTCTCTGCCACGTCCTCTGGGTCTCTGTTCCTGTTCTCTTCTCTCTGGACCACTGTCTCCCCTCTCTTTGTCATTCTCTCTCTGGAGTGACGGTTTGTAACATTTGGGGGAGGGGGTCAAGTATCCCTTTGTGAAAATATGATGAAGGCTACAGGCCATCTTCCTGGGGGGACACAGGAGCACTAAGTCCCCAGGTGTCCTGGAGCACATCTGCATCATCCCCCCCAGGAATCCAAGGGCACCAGAGGACAAAGACCCTGCTCTCTTCTCCCCCTCCCCCTCCCCTGCCATCACAGGCCATCACAGGCCTGCAGGCCTCATATAACACGGAACACATTCCCACCCCAGGGCCTTTGCACGTGCCGTTCCCCTGCCCGGCGAATCGGCCTGGCTCCCTCACGCTCTTCGGGCCTCTGCTCAGATGCCACCTCCTCTGAGGACTTTCCACATCACCCCTGTGTCCTCACTCTGTCTCAGAGCACTTGTCACCGCAGGCGGGCATCGTTTGTGCTCACACATGTATCGACCTCACTGTTCTCTCTCCCTACCCCCTCCCCAGTACGAGGTGAGGGCCAAGAGGCCAGGAAGTTTGCCTCTTGCTCCCTGCTGTACCCCCAGAACACCACCTGGCACACAGTAGGTGCTCGGTAAGTTTCTGTTGCACAAATCCTTATCTTGTTAGAGCACCAGTTTCAAAGGCTGCCACTGCCATCTCCAGAAACCGGATGAAAGCTGTGGGTCTTCTCTCCCGCATCTTTGTAACCAGTCACATCATGCACCCTCAGTTTTGGGGACTACCCAAACTCACCCAGGACACTGCGGGGTAAGAACCTTCTCAGGGGCAGGAGTCAAAAATGGGCAGAGGGGTGGGATGAGGCCTCCCGGGGCCTGGGCACCGGACACACACCTGTGCAGAGACCGAGTCCCAGGCTCAGACATTGCTCAAACTCCGGCACCCCGCCCCCCACGCTCACCCCATGTTCAGACAGAAACGATGCGCGGGCACACACACCCAGGCATGGTCAGACGACCAGATGCCCAGACAAAGCTGGAGACACACACAGGTGGCTTCCAACACAGGTGCAAAGGTGTCCTTGTCCCCCAGGGGAGGGTAGTTAGGAGAGCAGAGCAAGAACTGAAACATGGGGCTTGGGTTACTTGCAGCCTCTGGTTCTCTCTCCTGCCTCCCAGTCGGAGAGAACAGAGAGGGGGGAGGGGCGGACCGACGGAACAGGGGGCCCGTAGGAGGTGGGGGTCGGGACGGAGAGAGGCAGAGGTGTGTGGGGCAGAGATGGGAGAGACAGAGAGACAAAGAGGGAAAGAAACGGAGAACGAAAGAGAGAGAGAGAGAAAGAGAGACCGACCATGTAGAGAAAAGAAGGAACCAAGGAGAGAGGGACGCAGAAGGGCGTAGAGCGCGGAGGAAGGGGAGGGGGACAGAGGGACAGAGACCTGTGGCAGCGGAGTGGGAGGCAGAGAAGACCCGGGTGGTGGGGGGAACCAGAGAGAAGGAGGCGGGAGGGGTGGGGAGATTAGACTCCCGGAGACTCGGATACAAAAGCAGCCTCCACCCCGGAGTGGGGGGCGGGGCGGGGGAGGGGGCTCAGGGCGGGGGGAGGGGCGGGGGCTCCGCCGGCGGCCGCCCCGCCCAGCCCCCCGCGCCCCGGCGGACAGCGGGTTAAGCATCTCCGATGTGGAACTTCCGGATGTGACCACAGAGAGAGGGAGAGACCTGGAAGGGGGAGCGGGGCCGCCGGGCCGCCAGCATCCCCCCGGGCCGCCCGCGCCGGACCCGCACCCGCGCGGGGCGCCCCCTCCGCCCGGGCCGGACCACCTCCTCACCCCCCGCCCCATCCCTCGTCTCCCGGTCTGTTTGTCTCGGGCTGGTTCCGTCCTCCCGGGACCGGGAACGGACTGGGGGCCCCGGGAAAGGGGCCTGGGAGGCCCTCCCCGCCGTCTCGCCCCTTCCCTCGCCGGCATGAGCCCCTGGCTGTGACCCCCACGGGGGGAAGGGGGCCGGGGGTCCATGTTCGCAACCTCCGCACGGCCCGGCGCCTGCCGCTGACGGCGGCGGGGGTGGGGGGGCCGGGCACCCAGCCTCCTGCCCCACCCCCTGGCGTCGGCCCCGCGGGCCGTCGGGGGCCGCTGCCCCCGGCTGCGCCCTGCCCGCCGGCCAGGCCCTGGAGGCGCCCCGGAGCTGCCGCCGGCATCAGCCCATGGCCCGGAGGGTAGGTCTGAGGGCCGGCACCCCTGTGCCCCAGCCCGCCTTCGCCTCCCCCTCCTCCATCCCCGCCCCCGGCGCTGTGGTCCGGGCTAGCCCATTCCGCCCTCCCCACCTTCCCCACCTTCCCCACCTTCCCCACCTTCCCCACCTTCCCTCTCTGTCTCCCTCTCCCTGGCCCTCGGTTCCCCCCACTCTGCCCCTCCACCTCTCCCTCCACCGCAAGCCCTTTATCTTACCCCCCACTTCCTTTTCTGCCCCCCCCCCCCATCCTTCTCCCTGCTCTACTTTTGTTCCAAGTCCTCCGAGGGTTCAGGGTGGGGACAGCGCAGGGAGAGGTGGGTCTCACCAGGCAGGGCCCCTCTGCCCTGGGGATGGGCCAGACCGGAGGAGACAGGCTGGGAGGTAAGCAGGCACCTTGGGGGGTGGAGGGGGCAGAAGTACCGAGATGCGAGGACCGCGCCGACACGGTAGGACGTGCGACGAACAGCCAGGAGCGGTCGCATGCAACTTCAGGGCTCGGGAGAAGTTAGGAGAGGAAGTGAGCGGGCAGCGAGGCAGAGAGGCACGCGGCGCCGGCGCGCGTCCGCGGCGGGGCTGAAGCGGACGGTGGCCGGAACTCTGCGCTCCTCCTTCCAGTCTCTTTGCCCCTTTAAGCCTCAGTTTTTTCATCCCCAAAGGAGGGGTTTGACCTAGGCGACTGAAGGTCCCCAGACTCCCCCAGCGCCTGAACCTCCGTGGTGGCCGGACTCAGAAACCTTGCCCGGATGCCCGTGGTTTCTCTCTGGGACTGTTTGCAAAAGTGGGCTTGTGCGGTTGTGGCTTTTTCGTTCAACAAGAGTTTATTGAATGCGTGCCAGGCACTGTGCTAAATGCCTCATTCATTCATTTTACTCCTGTGCGTGCTCAATGTCTCGTTCATTCATTCAATCACTCACTCATTCATTCATTCCCGCGCGCAATGGCTGGCTCTGGTGCGGGTGTCGGACCCCCAAGATGAGGGGGATGGGCCGGTTATGCATGTTTGAGAACCCGAGTGAAAGCGAAGGCGGTGAGACTGTGCATGTACGTTTGTGTACAAACAACGCATTGCTTTTATGGGAAGTGTCTATGGGTGAAAATCGCTCTCTTCTGCCTCCCCGGCTGTCTCCTGTATCTTCTCCCTCTGTCTCTTTGCATCTCTCTCTGAGTCCTGGCTCTTTCCTTCGCTGCCTTTTTCCCATCGCTCTCACCATTTTTCTTTCCCCTCTCTCCCCACCCCCCTGGGTTTCTCCCCTTTTTCCTCCCTTCCTCATTTTTCTTTCAGATTTTATTTATTTATTTATTTTTTAAGAGAGGGGAAGGGAAGGAGAGAGGGAGAGAAACATCAATGGGTGGTTGCGTCTCGTATGCCCCTCGCCTGTGACCTGGCCCGCAACCCAGACATGTGTCCTGCCTGGGAATCAAACCAGTGACCTTTGGTTCACAGGCCGGCACTCAGTCCACTGAGCCACACCAGCCAGGGTTCCCTTCCTCATTCTGTGAGGAGCTGGCACATACCAGCCAGCTGATCCCTGACCCTTCCACCCTGACCCTCAGATCAGAGACCTGGGTCTGTCCTCTGGACCTTCCTGCCCACACCTCAGGAATCTCTGTTTGGTCATATGTCACAGTGCAGGGGTGCAAGACAGGGTCCTCAGTCCCACACAGCTCCATGGGACATTGGGAGATGGGGGGGACTGAGGGGCATGTCTGGGACACTTGGGGGACAGAAGGGCTGGTTCCTGTGGCAGGGAGAGGGAGTCTCTTGGGTCCCGGCCGGTGCTGATGCCTCCCTGGGGCTCTCCCCCTCTCGCCTGTCCCCAGTACAATGAGCTGCCCCACTACCCAGGCATCGCGGATGGCACTGCAGCCCTGGCTGGCTTCTCGGAGGCAGCGCCTCCAGCACCCAGAGCCCCTGGGCCCTATGGCCCTCACCGGCCTCCGCAGCCCCCACCCCCGGGCTTGGACGGCGAGGGCCTGAAGAGGGAGAAGGATGAGATCTATGGGTGAGTGGGGGCCGGGCTGAGGCTCCACGGGGTTTCACAACGCGGGCCTCTCTCTCTGTTTCTTGGCCTCTCTGAGTCCCTGTCTCTCTCTCTGACTGTCCCCACTCTGGGGCTGTCTTCCCAACTCTTCCCTCTGGGTCTCCTGTCCCCTCCCAGTTGCTCCGTGTTTCAGAGACCCCTGCCCTCTCCTCCCCTTGTGAACTCTCTCCCCTCCTGCTTCCCGCAGGCACCCGCTCTTCCCGCTGCTGGCCCTGGTCTTTGAGAAATGTGAGCTGGCCACCTGCTCTCCCCGAGATGGGGCTGGACTGGGCACACCCCTGGGCGGTGACGTCTGCTCCTCCGACTCCTTCAACGAGGACATTGCCGCCTTCGCCAAGCAGGTGGGCACCCCTACCCTCCACGCAGCGGGAAAGCCGGGGAGCAGGGCGGGCGGGAGACAGGCTGTGCCCTCCTTGGCCCCTCTCTTCCTCCCAGGTCCGCTCCGAGAGGCCCCTCTTCTCCTCCAACCCAGAGCTGGACAATCTGGTGAGACCCTGGGCTGCTCGGGGCAGGGGGGGGGGGTCCATGTGCTCAAACAACGGTAACTGTTACCCATTTGCAATGTGGTGTGGCCTAAAGTTTGAGAATGCAGGCCAGTGACCCGAGTTCTAATCCCAGTCCTCCACATCCTCTCTCTCTGAACCAGGACATCTCCCTGTGCCTCAGTTTCCTCACCGGTAAAGAGCAGCTAGTAGAAATTTCTATCTCATAGGACTGCTGTGCAGGTTTAATGAGTTAGCAAGGTTCAGGCGCTTAGAATGGTACCTGGCCCAGACTCAGTGAGCATTAGCCATGCTACCAGGAGAGCAGAGCTCACACAAGTGCAGTGACTTGGATGCAAAGGAGAGAGGAGAGGAAGGGAGAGAGAAGAGACAAGAAAAGAAGGGGGAGGAGAGGGAGAGAGAGGGAGGAATACCCTGGCTTCTTTCTTTTTCCAGCTCCCACCAAGGCTTCCTATTGGCTGAGCCCTTTGGCAAAGGCCCCTGGGAAATGTAGTTTGCAGGTGAAGGGTGGAAAACAGAGCAGAGGGCAAGCAGGCAAAGAAGAGAGATTAGGGTAGCTTACCTGTGTTCATCTCGTGATGGATGCTTTTCTGTCCCTTGTACCTCTGGCTTCTCTGTCTTTGTCTCTGACTCCCCCTGGAATCTCGGATCCGTTTTTCTCTGCCCCTGTCTCTGTGTGTCTCTCTGTCCTTGTCATTCTGTGTATCTCACTCTTTCTGTTCCTCTATCTCTTCTCTTCCCTCTCTTCTCCTCCTCCTCCTTCTTCTCTCTCTTCCTCTGTCCCTCGCCCCCTCTCCCCTCCTCTGCCTCTTCCTGCCCCTGTTTTCAGATGATCCAGGCCATTCAGGTGCTCCGGTTCCACCTGCTGGAGCTGGAGAAGGTGAGTGCTTCTCACTTCCCCCCACACCCTCTCTTGCCCCCCAGCCCTTTCCCTTTCACCCCTCCACCCCCCTCAGGCTCTCTCCCCACCGGAGTTGGAGCAGAATGCCACCCCCGTTCCCGTACACCCCAGCCCTGGCCCCCGGGTGGCCCCCCCAGTACCCCGGTGCCCCCTCAGGTCCACGACCTGTGCGACAACTTCTGTCACCGCTACATCACCTGCCTCAAGGGAAAGATGCCCATCGACCTGGTCATCGAGGATCGGGATGGCGGCTGCAGGGAGGACCTCGAGGACTACCCAGGCTCCTGCCCCAGCATCCCAGACCAGGTGGGCCCGGGAGGGGGTGCCAGGCATCACCCTCTAACCCAAGCCACTCTGGACAGCTGGGTTATAGCGTGGGGGGACACACATTTGCACACAAACACACACACACACACACCCCCTGACAGCTGAAGACACCACCATAGACTCGGCTGCATGCACACAGGTTCACACACAGTTGCACAAACTCAGTGGCAGGCATTCTCACTCGTGGTCAGCTGACAGCATGTGCCACACACATAGACACACACGTCCCAGCTGCGTGACGGCATCAGAGACCACACAGCCTGACTGAGACACCATCACTCCAGAGAGAGTGTGTGTGTGGTGCACACACAACCATCACACCGATGCGGACTGAGACAGCTGGCCCCAGATCCTGCCACGCGGATCAGACACGGCCGCACATATTCCTTATCTCCACACAGCCTCTGACTCACTCCCGTGGCCGGCAGCCACCCAGCAGAGTCTCACTGTCTCACAAATAAGACAGCCAGCCCCTTGACCTACAGCCGCAAAGTGCGGTAGTCAGCTACAGCCGCCTGGCCACCTCAGAGAGTGACAGCCACGCTCCAAACACAGTGTGTGGCTCAGCTCTACCCATGTAGCCACCCAGCCACGGCCACCTCCTCTGCGGGGACCACTGTGCCATCTCAGACACAGGCATAGGTTCATACTGTGTGTCCATGACAGTCTCAGGACAGCTTCAGGCACGCTGCCGCGGACCCAGCACTGGGACAGTTACAGGTGGCGGTTCTATCCTTGCACAAAAAGGCCTTCAGACCCGGGGGTGCCGCAGTTGGCACACCAGCAACCCCCAGTGCACTCAGACCCACAATTCCACACAGACGCACGGAGCCTGGAGGAGGCTTCGCTGGGCTGCCGTCTCAGGCGATGCCCCAGCAGGACACAGATGGCGGGTGCTGTGGGCAGGGTCCAGGGGACTCACAAAGGCAGGCGGGCGCCCCCGGGCTCAGGGGGCTGTTTCCACCCCCCTCACACCCATCTGCCTCCCAACACTGAGCTGAGCCTCGAGCCACATGACACAGAAGTCTTGGTGCTGTCTGTACCGGGGCGGGGGTTGGGGGTGGGGGCCTGGACATGGAGCTGGGCGGAGGGCGAGTGCACCACGCCGCCAGGCCCCTCAAGGCATGTGGATGCCATGCACACGGTCCCGGACCCCCTGGTCTGCAGTTCTGAGTCCCCTGCGTGTCTGAAAGCTGAGTGTTGTTTTCTCTCCCCCATAAGTTTAGCGTAAACTCATTGGGCAGCAGAATCTGACCTGAACGAATGAGACGGCTATTTATAGCCTTTATTCATTCCACCGAGTTAACTGGGCATCCGTTTTGCTGTGGAACTGTTAATGAGCTCGATGGCGAGGTCAGGCCCCAGACCCTGCTGGGGGCGTTCGGAACCGCATGGCGTGTGCGTGACTTACTGTCTAGAAAACGTGACAAGTTCTGAATTCTGAAACCCCTGCAGAGCCTCTGGATTTCAGATGAGGTGCTGTAGCTCTGTGCAAACTCATCTTTATTGAGTGACTGCTATGTGCCTTTGCGTGAATTAACTCGCTGCTTCCACACTCTGAGGTGGGGACCATCATCGTCCTCCATTATCCAGTTGAGGAGACTGAGGCACAGAGAGGTGAAGTGACTTGCCCAAGGTCACACAGTCAGAGAGGAGGCGGGGACGGGCTTTCCACCTGGGAGTCCTAGCTCCAGAGCCCGTGGCCTCAGCTACTGGGCTACATTGTGTCCCAAGCCTTCACACTGACTTCCCATTCTTGTTTTCCAGAATAATGCGTGGATGAGAGACCATGAAGACAGCGGATCTGTACACTTGGGGACCCCGGGCCCATCCAGCGGGGGCCTGGCCTCCCAGAGTGGGGATAACTCCAGTGACCAAGGTGGGAAGCTTGGGAGGCAGAAGGGAAATGTGGGAGTCAGACTGAGGACTGGAGTTAGATAGCAAGTAGGACTTCCAAGACAGCACAGATGGCTGGGTGTGGAGCCGTTGTCTTGGGTGGGTGAGGGTTCTGCCCTGTCTGGTCTCCCACCCTCACTGTCCAGAAACATGGCACGCCTCTCCACCCTCAGGAGATGGGCTGGACACAAGCGTGGCATCTCCCAGTTCTGGGGGAGAGGACGAGGAGCTGGACCAGGAGCGGCGGCGGAACAAGAAAAGGGGCATCTTCCCCAAGGTGGCCACCAACATCATGAGAGCCTGGTTGTTCCAGCACCTCTCGGTGAGAGCCCGTTGCCCCCAGGGTGGGTGGGCCTGGGGAGAGACGGAGCCCTGGCTGGTGTGTCTCAGTGGACTGAGCACTGGCCTGTGAACCAAAGGGTTGCTGGTTCAATTCCCAGTCAGGGCACATGCCTGGATTGTGGGCCAGGTCCCTAGTAGGGGGTACATGAGAGGCAACCACACTTTGATGTTTCTCTTCCTCTCTTTCTCCCTCCCTTCCTCTCTAAAAATAAGTAAATAAAATCTTAAAAAAAAAAAAAGAGAGAGATGGAGAAGGATAGACATACAGAGACTGAGGCCCAGAGAGACCCAGAAAAGGGAGACTGAGGCAGAGGGGATGTTGGGGGGGGATTTCAAGGTGAGGGTGGCAGGCACTGGCCAGAAAAAAAATGTCCTGAGCACTACGTGTGTGCCCGGTGCTGCTGAGAGCTCTTGACCCATTCAGCCCTCCCCCAACCCACCCGCCTGCTCAATGGACCACTGGCCCCTCTCCACCCACCTGTCAATCATCCACCATCCAGGCGCCCATGCCGTGTGAGAGCGGAGCCCTATTTTCTGCAGATGAGGACAGGGAGGCCCAAGGTCTCCGGAGGATTGAATTAGAGCAGGATAGGGACAAGGAGACACTGAGTCACAGGGACAGGGTGGAGGGAGGGGAGCGGAGGGGAGGAGAGGAGAGAGGCATAGAGAAAGAAAGAAATCGGGACCGGGAGAGCCGGACACGGGGCCCTGACAGACTCATAGCGTCTGGTGGCTGGGCTTTGCCGCCTTCCCTGGCTGTGCAGCGCTGTCCCCAAGCTCTGTCTTTCCCGAATGAGAGCTGGCCAATTAGCCTCTAATTGCTGGAAGAGGCGGGGGCGCCCACGGGCGTAATTGCCCAAAGCTTCGCTCTGCTTCCCCCTGTTGGGCCCCGGGGAGCACAGAAAAGCTACGCCGTGCGGGCTCTTCCGGCCCCTGCCCCAGCCTGTGCTCGCCATCCCCGGGGACCCCGCGGGCCAGGCCCTGGGGATCCGATGGTGGCCCGGCAGGCAAGGTGACTCTTGCTGATGGCCACAGCACCCGTATCCCTCGGAGGAGCAGAAGAAACAGCTGGCACAGGACACGGGGCTCACCATCCTGCAAGTGAACAACTGGTGAGGGACTGCAGAGGCTGGGGCGGTGCGTGGGGAGCGCGGGGTGGGAGGCCGGGCGCTGTCCGAGGTGCTGAAGGAGGCCGCCGAGCCCTCAGAGACTCTCCACCCCATCCCGGGCCTCACCTGCCAGCTCGCTGTCTGTCTCTGTGTCCACCTCTCCCTCTCTCCTACACCCTCCTCCATTTCCACGACCCCTCCCAGGTTCATTAATGCCCGGAGACGCATCGTGCAACCAATGATAGATCAATCCAACCGCACAGGTACGGGGAGGAGAAGGGGAGAGAGGGCCTAGTGCTCCTGGGGGAGGGTCAAAGCCCGGACCCAGGCATCCTGGGGCTCAGGCTGCGCCCCGCAACCCTCCTCCCAGGGCAGGGTGCAGCCTTCAGCCCAGAGGGCCAGCCCATGGCGGGCTACACGGAGACACAGCCACACGTGACTGTCAGGCCAGCAGGTAAGGCCCGGCCTCTTCACCAAGCCACGCCCCCAACACACCAGGCCCCTCCTCTAAATGAAGATGCCCCACCTTCTGGGTTATGTTCATGAGTAATCATTATAGTGCCTCATTTGCATAACTGGAGCAGATTTGGAGGTGCCCACATTTTCCTCACAGACTTTGCTTTTTCCAGGCTCTGCCTGCGACTTGGACGGCTCCGCTTTTCCTTAAAGGACCAGTGCCATCTTAAACGATGACTCAGTCTGGCCTGATAGAGGGGTCCCCTGAGACAGAAAGGGTCGGGAGGGGCATGGGGGGCATCTGTGGGTGTCCGGTAAAGACCCACTGACCGTCCTCTTTTGTCTTCCAGGATCGATGGGGATGAGTTTGAACCTGGAAGGGGAGTGGCATTATCTATAGAGGCTGGAGTCGGGAGGGGGGTGAGTGTCCAGTGCCTCGGGGTGCTGGGGTGGGGCCTCGCAGAGCTCACACCTCTGTGACATCTCTGGCCTGCGCCGGGGACCGCCCAGAGCAGGACCAGCGTTGCTCCCTGAGCTTAGTGTACGCCAAGGCTGGAGGAGGGAAGCTGGCTCATTTCCTTCATTCACCCATCTGTTCCTCCACCCGCCTATACACACACACACGCCCTGACATGCCTCAGGTAGGGTCTTCTCTTGAGAAAACTCTGGGCTTCTGTGAAAGCGGACACCAGAAACCAGTACAACAGCTGAAACAATAAAACACAGGCTGCTCAGAGGAGAGAGCCGTCAGCTATGTCTGAGATATCAGGAAAGCCTTCCTGGAGGACATGGCTTCTGGGTGGGGCACTGAAGGATGAATAGGAGTCCATCCACCCGGTAGACATTAGGGGCAAAGTAATAGGGCACATTCTTTTCTTCTTCCAGGTCTTAAGCTTTTAGAGTTTCTTTTTACTTAGTCTTCACAACAACCCCAAGAGGAAGAGACTATTATAATTTTCACTTTGCAGATGAGAAAACTGAGGCTCAGAGAGAAGAGGGTTCAGTCAGCTCAGAAAAGCAAAGGGAACAGCATGTGCAAAAGCCAAGGGTGGAGAGGCTACCTGGAGATTCTAAAGCATGGGTCAGATCTCAACCCTCCCTGGATTAAAACCCTTTTGTGGCTCCTTAGTGCCCCCCTATAACATAGAAACTCCTTAATTCAGCATCTGTTCATTCATTCAGTATACATTCTCTGAGCACCTCTGTGCCTGGCCCTGTGCTGGGTGGTGCTGGGGACCCAACAGGCCCTGTGACAGCCCAACCCTGCCCTCCTGGGGCTCATAATCCAGAGGTGGAGACAGACCTGTCCCAGACAGTGAGGACCCAGAGTGGGCAGGGCTGGAATGAAGGAACCCAAGAACTGGAGGAGCCCAGAGAAGGCATCAGACCCAGGCCAGAGAGTTCAGGGAGGACTTCCTGGAGGAGGGCACTTTGGAGCAGAGAACAGGAGGAGTGAGGTAGGGGAGAAGGGAACAGCATATGCAAAGGTCCAGCACACCTAGAAACCTCATGGCTGTGAAAACAGCCCCTCCCCAACCCCCACACACTGAGCTGGGCTGGGGCTGGTAAGTGAGGTGAGTGATAGATTCAGGGCCAACAGAAAGGCTGGGAGAGGAGACGGGAGACCCCGGAGGGCTTGGGTGTGCAGGGGCAGTGGAGGCCTGAGGCTGGGAAGGGGAGATGGATGGGTTTGTTCAGAGCCTCGCTGGTCAGTGGGGGTCTCTGCTCTGCTCCAAGTGGTCCAGACAGGTGTGACCTGGTCTGAGGGTCAGAGCCCCTCTGGGATCAGGAGCAATGAGGGGGGCCTCCCGCCCTGCTTTCCCAGGGGGCTGTCGTTCCTGTCTGCCTTTTCTGTCTCCACCCCCTGCCCTCGTCTTTGTCTCTTTGTCTCCCTCTCTCCTTGTCTTTCTCTCTTTCTTTGTCTCAACTGTGTCTTTATCTCTTCTTTTTAAAAAAGATTTCACTCATTTACTTTTATTCATTTAAGATTTTACTTATTTATTTTTAGAGAGAAGGGAAGGAGAAAGAGAGAGAAACATCAATGTGTGGTTGCTCCTCACACGCCCCCTACTGGGGAACTGGCCCACAACCCAGGCATGTGCCTTGACTGGGAATTGAACCTGTAACCTTTCCCTTTGCAGGCCGGCGCTCAATCTGCTGAGCCCCACCAGCCAGGGTGCATCTTTCATCTCTGTCTCTCTCCCTCCATTTTGTTCTCATTCTTCATCTCCCTCTTTCTCTGTTTCTCCCCCTCTCTCTGTCTGCATCCCTCTCCCTGTGGGGTCGGTGGGGGCTGCACAGGAGGGTTGACTTGGGGCCAGACCCTCTCCCACCTCCTGACCTGGCCTCTCCTCCCCTTTCCACAGCCTCCAGCCTCCAGACTGTGACCACCAGGCCCACACCGTGTTCTGGTCCCCACCGCTGGCTTCAGGACCCTACCCTCCACGGCCCTCCCACTCAACACCTACCTCCGTGGGGCCCCACTGGGACATGGGGGGTCTGAGCGCCCGCTCCGGGGTCTCTGAAGGACAAAGACAGAGCCTCTAGGCTCGGCGCCCCACTTCTCCCCTCGCCTCTGCCCAGAACCCCAGCTGCGATCCTGGGTCGTCGGAAGATGGTGGCTGGGACCCCACCTCCAGGACAGAGATGGAATTGGGGGTGGGCTGGGGTTGTCACGGGAGGAGGGTCACCCGGATCCGATATTTGGGGAGGTTCCCTTCATCCTCCCAACCCACTCCCCTCCTCTCTGCCCCTACCTCCCTTCTCTGATGTCTTCTACTTTTTTTTTTAATGATAAAATCTTCAAAAAGTCACCAGTTGGAATTCTTGTGTCTCTTCTAAGATGTACCTTATCTGTTTGAAGCTCAGAAATCACTCATTACAATGATAATTAGTACTCTATCCTGTTCTGTCTTTGGGCACCTCACATATCAGTCAGCTGTTGCTGTGTAACAAATAATCCCTAAATTTTTGTGGCTCAAAATACCCACTTTTTTTTTTAGCTCATTATTCAGTGGGTTGGTATTTTAAACTAGGATCCGCTAGGCGGGTCTTGTGGTTTCATCAGGGCTCTGTTGTGTGTCTGTAGCCTGGGACAGGTGAGCAAGGGGGCTCTGCTTCTGGGGGTTGGTTTGCTGGCAGCAGGACCAGCAGGAGTGACTGGATCACATGGTAACATTGGCCAGCAGGCTGCCAGTTTTGTTCACAGGCTGATTGGACTCTCAGAGAACAGAGAGGTCCAGGGCCTCTTGAGTCCCAAGCTCAGATCTGGTACAAGATTATCTCTCAGCCCCTTAAAGTCCCAAGGCCAGGTTCAAGGGAGGGGAAATAGACTCTACCCTCTTGGGTGGAGCTACAAGCTCACATTGCAAGAGGCGGACACAGGGAGGGATGAAGAATTGGGACCACTTTTGCATCAGTCTCCCACACTGACTACCAGGTTCCTTTCTCCACCTGTCCCATGGGAGATGGGCGGGCTTGTCATGAACAGCCCCACCCACTGGGAGTGGTGCCAACAGACATGGGTTCAAATCCTGCCTCTGGAACATAATAGCTATGGTGCCTGGGACGAGTGATTTCACTTTTCTGGGTCTCAGTCTTTGCATCTGAAGAGTGGGGATCGTAGCACCTGTCTCACAGTTCTGCCATACGGCTTGACGGAGGTGTGACAAGGGAAATGCCGAGGATGGTGCCTGGCACCTAGTAAGTGCTCAGTCAGTTGGGAGTCATTGTAACTAGAGAAACTGCCACTTAGGGCATCCTGGGAAACAGGTGGAAAGCGGAGGAAGCACTCCTGGACTCTAGGCCCTTCACCTGTCAATCACTCATTCATTCATTCGGGACACAGGTATTTCCCATACACACTCTCTGCCCTTCAGAGAACACGCCACAGACCCCTGCCGCCCCACCAGCGGCGAGGTGGAGGCCTGCAATGGGCGCATCATTGGGTCTGTTAGAAGCTGACAGGTGGCGCACAGCAGAGGCGTTCATTTACCTTTATCTAGTGCGTGCTGTGTGCCAGGATCCGTCCTGGGAGCCTCACTCTGCCAACCCCGTCAACCCACCACCGAGTCCCAGGAGGTGGGCCCATCCCAGTCCCCAGTGCCCAGAGGGGAGAAAACAAAACAAGGCCCAGCAAAGTGAAGGTGCTCTGGCAGGGGGCTTCACAGCGGGAGAGAGTGGGCGTGCATTCGCACGATGACGGTCTTGCAGCTCCGAAACTTGTGTGCTAACTATGCTGCTCAATGGCTTCTCATCTTAAGAAGTAGAATCTAAGACTCTGATTTTTATTTTATTTTTTAAAAGATTTAAACTATTTTTAGATAGAGGGGAAGGGAGGGAGAGAGGGAAAGAAACGTCAATGTGCAGTTGCCTCTTGCTCGCCCCCTACTGGGGACCTGGCCCGCAACCCAGGCATGTGCCCTGACTGGGAATCGAACTGGCGACCCCTTGGTTCACAAGCCAGCACTCAATCCACTGCCACACCAGCCAGGGAAAGACTGATTTTTAAAGGGCCTAACACAGAATATTTTCTGGGTCAGATATTGTTTTGGCGACTGTGGTTAGCATGTATCTCTCCCCACACTTCCCAGAACTGAAGTGGGACGGATGAGGGACAGACAGCAGGAAGGGCTTCCAACAACGGCTTCCTTTGAAGGCATGTGAAGACGGGTTCTGGGAGGGGGGCAGGGCTGGACCCAGGCCTGAGGTCTAGTTCAAGGGAAGGCCAGGTGAGTTCATGCAATCTATGCCTGCCTGCCTGATGGGGGAACCTGGGACATTGGCAAGTGGGGGAGGGGTGGCTCCCCTCGCCCCTCCTCCCCCACCTTCTCCCGGTGACTGGAAATGCCTCTCACTTAGTTCTCTATAATTATACCAATTGGATGTGCCTCGGGGTGGAGGGAAATTGGGTTGGAGGTTAATTGTAACTAAAAATACCTCCCCCACTTCCTGGGGTGCGGAATCAGCCAGCTCTGGGGCAGCCTGTGAAGTGGTCGGCGTCGCGGAGTAGGCGGGGCCTGGGGGAAGCGGGGACCCTAGACGGCTCTGCGGGGAGGCCTCTGTAGGATGGGTGGGCAGGGCTAGGCGGTCTTGGGACCGGTGTATGTGTGAACATTGTGTGGCTGCTGTGGCTCTGGACCTGGGAGGCTGGGGGAGGGCTGTTGGCCCAGCGGGCGCCGCCAGGATTTGTCCACGGCCACGCCTGTGACTGTATGGGGTGCGTGTGTGTCCCTGAGGAATGGCGGGGTCCCGGGCTGGCTGTCAGGGTGAGCCGTGTGTGTGTGTGTGTGTGTGTGTGTGTGTGTGTGTGCGTGTGTCTGTGACTTGGAGACTCTGGGCGTTGCTGTGTGCGTCCGGGTGGGATGTGGGGAAGAGCGGGTCTTTATAACTGGGTGCCTCCTGCATGTGTCCGCGGAAGCGTCCCTCTGTGCGGCTTTGTAGCCTCTTGGCAGTCATGAGTCTGAAAATGCGACTGTGGGTCATCCAGCTCAGATGCATAAGAATGTGGGGCAGGGAATGAGCCTGGGCGCCCGCCAGAGGGCGCTGGGGAGCCACGGGAGGTGGTGTTTTGGGAACAGTTTTATTGAGATGGAAGTCACAGATAGAAAAATCCACCCAGTGAAAGTGTGCCGCGCGAAGGCGTTAGAATAGTCACGGAGTTGTGCATCTGTTACCACGATCAGCCAGAAAGAAAGCTCCTACTTTCGGCAGTCACTCCCCATATACCCCCAACCCCCAAACGTAGGCAACCACTAATCCACTTTCTGTCTGTATGGATTTGCCTGTTTCAGGCATTTCATATAAATGGAATCTTACAATACATGATCTTTTATATCTGGCTTCTTTTACTTAACATGATTTTATTTATTTTTAGAGCAGAGAAGGGAGGGAGAAAAAAACATCAATGTGTGGTTGCCACTTGAGTGCCCCCTACTGGAGACCTGGCCACAACCCAGGCATGTGCCCTGACTGGGAATCAAACTGGTGACCTTTTGGTTCACAGTCCAGCACTCAATCCACTGAACCATACCAGCCAGGGTGATTTAACATGCTTTTGTGATTTATTAATGTAGCATGAGTCAGTGCTTCATTCTCTTTTATGGCTTAGTAATATTCCATTGTCTTGGAGGGATGTTGAGCAGATAAAGGAGAGTTGGGTTTGTGCTTTGCCCCTTGGGTTGCCCTGTGGAGGGTGGGTTGGAGGGGGTGTTACTGGTTGAATTGTGTCCCCAAAGAGATATGCTGAAGCCCTGATTCCAGGACCTGTGAATGTGACCTCATTTGGAAATAGGGTCTGTGCTGATGAAGTTAAGATGACATCCTAAATCAGGCCCTAATGTGACTGTGTCCTTACAAAACAGAGAGATTTGGACACTGACAGGCACTCAGAGAGAAGGCCACGTGAAGACAGAAAACTACCGAAGTGACGCTGCCACCAGCAAGGGACACCGAGGCTGGCCAGCAAAGCACCAGAAGCTGGGGGGAGGCCAGGGAGGACCCCCCTGCAGGTTTCAGGGGGAGCGAGACCCTATGACGTCTTGATTTCAGACTTCAAACCTCAAGAACTGGGAGAGAAGTTTCTGCTGTCGGAGTCGCCCGTTCAGCGGTGCCCTTTTATAGCCGCCATGGGAAACTGTTACAGGGAGTGAAGGTGGAGCTGGGAAGACTGGGAGGAGCCAGGCAGGACACTCAGGAATGTGGGAGGGGGGAGGGGGCTCTCAGAGCTACTTAGGAAGGTGAGCAGGGAAAGAATATCGGGAGACAAGGCACTTTTTAGAGACAAGGGTGCCATCAAATTAACGTGTTGCCCAAAGGTCACTGGTGTGCTGACCCTAAGAGCTCATGGCAGGCGGGAAAACGGCAAAACACAACTGAGATGAGGACAACTAAGATAAGGACCAAGATTAATAGTTGCTGGTCACCATTAACCTTGAGGGAGCAATTTCAGTGAGGGGAAAGGAGGGGGAGGCAGAGGCCCGACAGGGAGGGGGTGAGCAGGCTGGGAGGTGTGGACTGGATTGTGCCATGTGAGTCCAAGGGTGCATGTAGAAGGGGTCCATTTTTGGTGAAGCCTGGAGACGACCCCAGGTGTACTGCACGATGATCAGCAGGCTGAATTCTGGCCCTTCCCAGGTGATCCTGATGACGGAATGAATGGTGACCCACAAAAACTGAGACAGGTCTTGTTTATTGGAAGGGAAGCAGGGAGGGAGGCAGGGAGGGAGGCAGGGAGGGAGGCAGGGAGGGAGGCAGGGAGGGAGGCACGGAGGGAGGCATGGAGGGAGGCACGGAGGGAGGCACGGAGGGAGGCACGGAGGGAGGCAGGGAGGGAGGAAAAGAAAGACAGCCCCAGCTGGTGTGGCTCAGTGGATTGAGTACCAGCCTGTGAACCAAAGGGTCGCCAGTTCAATTCCCAGTCAGGATATCTGCCTGGGTTGTGGGCCAGGTCCTCATTAGGTGGTGCGTGAGAGGCAACCATCCACTGATGTTTCCCTCTCTTTCTCCCTCCTTTCCCCTCTCTAAAAATAAATAAAATCGTTTTTTTTAAAGATACACACACTGAGTCCATGAAATGTTGCTGAGGGAAATTAAGAAAACCTTAAATGCACTTTTTAAAAAGCGGATGTACCATGTTCATGGACTCGAAGACTTGGAAGACTTGCTACTGTTGCTGTCAACTTGTCCGTTCTCCCTAAATATCTGTGGGGCCAAGACACTCCCAGCTGGAGCCCCAGCAGGCTTCTGTAGAAGTGGACAAGCTGATTCTGCCACTCGCGTGGGGACGCACAGGCCTAGGACAGCTGCGGCTTGTGGCAAAGCACAGAGCTGGAGGCCCGGCCCTGCCCAGCTCCAGGACTCGCTGTGCCGCTGCAGCAGCCGGACCGGGTGGTCCAGGGACAGCTCCAACACACAGGTCGGTGGGCTGAAGGCAAGAAATGCACCTCGGGGCTTAGCCCATTGATTTTCAATAAAGGTGGTGAATTAATTCAACAGGGAATAAACAGTCTTTTCAGCAAATGGTGCCAGAACAACCAGACAATTATATGCATAAAAATGAACCTTGACTCCAAACTCACAACATACATGAAACTAACTGGCAATGTCATGGGCTTAAAGGTAAAATCTGAACTATAAAACTTCTAGGAAAAAACATGGAAAAAGTCATGACCTTAGGGGTAGGCAAAGACTTCTTAGCATACAAAAAGTCCAAACAATAAAAATTTAAAATAAAATTAATAAAAAGGTACAATCTAAAATTATTATTAAAATAAACAATAGAATAATAAAGATAATAAAATAAAATAATTTAAAAGTACAAATAAAAGTAATGAATTTTATTAAAATTAAAAAGTCCTGCTCTGGCTGGCGTAGCTCAGTGGACTGAGCGTGGGCTGTGAACCAAAGGGTTGCTGGTTCGATTTCCAGTCAGGACACATGCCTGGGTTGTGGGCCAGGTCCCCAGTGGGAACCTTGTGAGAGGCAACCACACACTGATGTTTCTCTTCCTCTCTTTCTCCTTCCCTTCCCCTCTCTCAGAAAAATAAAGAAATGAAATATTTAAAAATTTTTAAAAGTCCTGCTCTGCAAAAGACACTGAAGTGAAAAGGCACATTATAGACTTGGAGAAAATATTCACAATTCATATATTTGCCAAATATATTTAAAGAAATGTGTAAACTATATCTTTATTATATAAATAGCTCAAATCAATATGACAAACAGTCCTTTATAAGAGGCAAGACGTTTAACATAAGATATAAAAAGTACAGTCACACCTCGGTACTCGTCGACTTCAGAACTCGTCAATCTTGGTACTCAGTCGCATTTTGAGAAGTCTCCGCGCTTGGCGCTTGCTGGGGACTTGTCACACTGGCTAGAACTTGTCTGGGTCACAGCCCTGCCTGCCTTTTGCTTCCTTGTTGGGCACTGGTCGGTTCCAGCACTGGTCGCGAGTTCCAGAACGAATTAACGATGAGTGCTGAGCCGCAACCGCATATAAATGGTTAATAAGCTTACAAAAAAAATGCTTGACATTAGCCATAAAAATACCATTAAAACCAGAGTAAATATCATTAGAACGGCTGCCGGGGGCTGGTCACGGTTTGTTTCTTGTGGATGCTGGCGGCTCAGGCATGCTTCATTTTCCGGAAACATTCTCCGAGCTGTTCAGGTGGGATGGAGCACCTTCCCGCTGTTCGCTCGGAGAGAACGTCCCGCAAGACTGTCGAGTGCGGGCATGTGCACTTCACATTTTGCAAGATCCTGCTAAACTGCGGTCCAGGGAAGTCGCACCAATCCCCCGAAAGGTGGGTGAAGGTGCCTGCTTCCCCGCAGACGCACCTGCAGTGAGCAAGGGCTTCAACTCTTTTCATCGGCGCCAGTCCACGGAGAGAAAGGGTGGCCCCTGGGGGTTACTCCACGCAGGTGGGACAGCGGCCAAGCCACAGTCCCACCTGGAGCTCTGGTGCACGATCGGAACAGACGTCTCTCTCGGGTAATCAGCGGACAGACTCCTTGGCTGCCAAGGGCCACAGAGTCACCCTTGAGGGTCTGTGGCCCCTGAGTCCCTGAATTCTGACACACGCCCTGGTAGCCACCTTCTCCCAACTCCCTCTGATGGAGTTACTGGGTCAGACGCCAGGGATGGTTAATTACGGGTTTTCGGTGGACACTGGCTTGGCTCATTTTCAGTGCCGTCCGGCCAATGAAAATGTAAAAACTGCTTCTGCCCATGGCACACTCTTTTTATGTTTAACATGGAAGAAGGAGGGAAAGCAAGAACAGTCCTGAGAGTCCTAAGTCATTAGATTTGGCTGGACGGGGGAGGGGAAGGTTCTGAGGTAGTCTCTCCCTTCATCCGCTTCTCTATTTTTAATTGTTTGGGTTGGGGGATGCAGAAGACAGTTAGAGACTTGACAACCAAAAAAATGGAACAGTGCTGAGTCAAGTCACCTTAAACAAACCCAAAAGATAAGCCACAGGCTGGAAGAGATGTTTGTCATGTCTATGAGAAAGCTTAAGATCCAGAGTATATAAAGAGCTATTACAAACCAATAAGAAAATGGCCTTTGCCATTTGCCTGGGAAAACACATAGTCAAAAACGGAGCCAGCACAGAAGAGGAAACACGAAGGGCCCAGAACAATATGCAGAGATGCTCGGGTCACTGGCAACCTGGGAAACAGAGATAACAGGAATAGACAGGTGCAGGCTGTGGGAAGGACATTGGGGGGAATCTATCAAATGACCTGCACAAATGCACCCTCCCTTTGACCAGCGACGCCACCTCCAGCTTTGTTTGTAGGAACAAAAGATGCACTGTCTGGCCCTGGCCAGTGTAGCTCAGCTGGCTGGAGCATCGTCCCATAACCAAGAGGCTTGGGGTTCGATTTCCGGTCAGGGAACGTATCTGGGTTGCAGGTTCAAACCTGGGTCGGGGCGCTTACGGGACGCAACCAAATGATGTTTCTCTTTCTTCCTTTCTCTGAGACCTGTCTGCCCACACAAGCCCCGTTAAACAAACGTGCAGCATGGTGGCCCGCTCTGCGGCCTCGCAGAACGCGCAGACTCTGTGCTGACTCAGAAAGCTCTCCGAGTCACCCTCAGAGCGTGTTGCAGAACCATGGGTGTGTAATCCCGGCTTTTAAAAAGTGCGAACACTCTATTTCCACACACACGGGTGATGGAGCGGAGTTCCAGCAGGTGCGATGGCAGGACGCACTGCCAACCTGACCTACGGCCGCCTGGGAGACCAGTGAGGAGGCAGCTGGCCCGGTCCCTGGGAGTGGGGGGTAGGGGTGGCAGAGACCTGGGGTCCGACTCTGGATCTGTTAACGGGGGAGCCAAGGGGACTGGCTAGGAGTGCGTGCGGGCGGGAGAGAGTGGCCGAATGGAGCCGCACTTTTCCGAGCTGGGGCAGAGGCCTCCGATTTGGGGGACACAAACTCCCAAAAGGAAAGCTCAAACATCTTGGTTGGTGGGGCGGTGGGGGGAGAGAGCACGAGATAACCGTGTGAATGGAAAACAGCTGAGTGAAAGGAGTGTCACTTACAAACTGCCGGAGTGAGAAGGGGCTGCCCCAGGGAGGCCCCAGCCAGCTCTGGGGGCTCTGGGGACTTTGGGTGACGCCCCAGACACCTGTGAGGCTACAAGTGTCAATGCCAAAGAGGCAGCTGGCCACGGGGAGCGGGGAGCTGGGGCTCAGGGCGGTGGTCAGGGCCAGGGGAGAGGCTGCGGCGGCGGTGGGGGGGAGGGCGTGGAGCTGGGGACTGTATGAGCTCCCTGGGAGCTGAGTGGGGACAGAGGCAGGCGAGGGCAGGGTAGGCCCCGCTGGCCCCGCTGCATCCGGGTAGGGAGGGGGGGAGGGGTGTGGCCAACAGCCGGGGAAGGGGAGGCATCTAAGGCAGGGGTGCCCCTGGGCCAAGGCAGGGGGCTCCTCGGGGACAGGGCAGCATCGCCGAAGGTCCCGAGGGACGGCTGGGAACCACCCACGGGCCCCACAGCAGGAACGGCCCAGTGCCCGTGCAGGAGTGGGTCCCGTGGCGCCGCCCATGGTCTCACGCGGACACCGACACCCACTCCTCGCCAACTCTTGAGGCGACACAGGCAGACGGGCCAGTGCAGGCCTGACTGCACTGGGGAGGGCAGGGGCGCCAAGGCCCCGCCCCAGGTCTGAAGTCCCTGCTCGGCCATACCTGCCCCAGGGCTCCAGGGCCCCCGGGCCAGCCTGAGAGCGGGACCACGGGGAGGGCCAACAGGCCGCTGCTCCCCTCTGGGTGGACAGGAGCAGGCCGGGGGTCCGACTCAGCGTGTCAGACTTTATCCACACCCCCTCCCCACGGGGGAGCGCGGGGGGAACCAGACTGTGGCTCTGAGCCCAGGGTGCGGGTTCAGGTGGAGTCCACAGCCCTGCCCAGGGCTCCCAGCACAGCTGGACTCACACGTGCTGCCTCCGGTGCCGCAGCACCTCCGTGGGCGTGAACAGGAAGTCTTTCTGACAGGCCTCGCAGCGGTAAGGCCTCTGCAGGGCTGACATCTTCTGCTGCGGCTCAGGGGTGGCTTCCTCGGCCCCTGAGGGAGAGAGGAAGGGAAGCTGAGGGGGGCGTGTTGCTGCAGGCTCACACCCCCACCCAAATCCCAGGCACCTAGGGGATTCAGGCTCTCCTGGCCTTTCGGGAAATCTGGCTCTGCTTCCTCCAGGAAGCCTCCCTTGATTAATACATGCACACAGAGGCCAGTCCTTAGTCTGTGTCCAGGGGAGAGACAGACTACACTGGGGTGGGGTCCGCACAGTGTGGCAGGAGCCGTGTCAGGTCTGCCCGCCACATCACCCCCTGGCTGACAATGCAGAGGATGTGGTCAAGGTGGAGACAGCTGTGGGACATAAAAGAGCAAGGGACACGGCCACAGAGGGACAGAGAGACACAGTGGCGGATCACAGAGGAACCACAGAGGGACAGGCAGACAGAAAGGAGAACTCGGTGTCCCTCCAGGCCCGCCTCAGCCCGGGCTCCGGGTCTCTGGGATGAAGCCCGCACGCGGCGCCAGCTGGGACCGGGGGGGTGGCCACTGTCCGCCCCCAGAGCACCCAGCAAATGCTCAGATGCACAGGAAACAACACGGGATGGAGAGACGCACCCACAGCCCCGTCCTTACCAGCAGGGCCGTCCTGCGGGGCCTCGGGGCAGCTGTTCTCATGGGCGATGCGCTCCAAGGGCGTGAGGGGCATGTGCAGGCCGCAGTGGGGGCAGGTCCAGAAGGTGCGGAGGCAGTCGCTGTACAGATCGGTGTCGCTCTGCAGCGGGCAGGCCGCGTCAGGGCCTTGCTCCCGGGCCTGCCCCCCAGCAGCCAGCCTTGGCCCCTTCTGAGAACCCCTTGGGGCTGACCGGCCCCATTCTGACACTGTGTCCCTGGACTAGGTTGGATGTGGTTGCGGGGCTCCTAAAATCCCATCTTCAGGGGCAGGGGGTGAGGGGACAAAGTGGGGCCCATGCTCACCGTGAGGCAGTTATAGGTGAGGAAGTCCGTGACTGCGTAGCCCCCCTTGGTGGGGTGGGGGAATAGGGCAGAGCTGCCAAAGAGGCTGGGGAGGCTGGGGGAAGTTGTGATGGTCTGGGGTCCCACATAGAGGTTCTGAGCTTCCAGCCCCGTGAGCCGCCGGAGACTGTAGGGAACCTGGGGAGAGAAAGAGAGCAGATAGACTAGGGGAGACACTATCAGAGCACCAGGATCCAGCTGTGCCTGAAGTCCACCCCTGGACTTGTCAGGTCCGGGGGCCAATCGCTTAAGCTAATCACAGCACGGTTTCAGATGCACTCAAGACCAGAGTCTTATCTAAAGCATACCCTGATGCTTCATCCTCCATCTCAGCTGCCCTTCCCAGGCCCCTCCCCTCTCCCTGCCACTTGTGGGACCACAGCCAGGGTGTGGGTCTGGCCACCTTGCCCCTCCTTCCCCCAGCATGTCAGCCTCTTCCTCTCTCTCCAGTTCACTGGGTCCCTCCACTCCTCCAGGAAGTCATCCTGGATTGCACCCTTCTCCCCTACCCCTGCTACACGTAGTAAAATCAATGTCAATTCCCCACTCCCACTTAAGAGGTGGGGGGTTGGTTTCACATCTGCTCCCCACGGATCTTCCTGTCTGTTCTCCATGAGTAAGCACCCTACAGTCCCCCCCTGCCCTGTCCTACCAGCCCTAACTGCAGTGGGGTGCCCCTGCCCGCCACATGCCCAGGCTGCTCAGTGAGCGGCTGCTGACTGAGGGCTCCACGGCTGGCCGTGTGGGCTCTGGAGCCAGGCACCACGGTCAGCTCCTGGCTCCCACCCTTACCATCTGTGTGGCCTTGGTTTGTCCTCACCTCCCGGGTTTGAAACCCCCCAAATGTGCCCACAGTCAGTGAACCAGAAGCCTTATCCCTGTGGCAGACGCCCCAAGGGCCAAGGGTGGCGCCGCCCCCCAGCAGTGGGTACCTTGGATGCCATGAACTGCAGCAGCTCCCTGCTCAGCACTGCCACCTCCTGGCGGTTGACGGGAGCCTCCTCCTCGTCTTCCTCATCCTCCCGCTGCCGCCGCCCTCGGGCCTGATGGGCCAGTTGCTGGTCCAGGGCACTTTCCCAGCGGGCCCGGAGACGCAGGGAAGCCGCCAGGAGCCGGACAGCGCCTTCAGTGTCGGCGAGCTGGAGCTCCAGCCAGCCGTCAGCCACCAGACGGGAGCAGTCACCATTGGTGTCCAGGGCCCGACTGAACAGCAGGAGAGACTGGAAGAGAGGGGGCGGAAAACAGGCAGCGGGTGAGGGGCAGGGCGCATCTTAGAGGGGCGCCCACCTGGCGGGGTCCCTGCCCACCCACTCATTCACCCGCCCCCCTGTCCATCCAATGTACCCATCGGTTCTCCACCCATCCCCCTGCCCACCCATCCCCCTGTCCACCCCACCCCCTTGTCCATCAATCTGCCTGTCCATCCAATGTACCCATCAGTTCCACCCATCCCCCCACCTCTCCATCCACTTGTCTGGCCAATGCACCCGTCTGCCCCTCACCCATCCATCCACCTCATCAGCAAACACCCGCCACACGCCTGCTCTGTGCCAGGCACTCTTCCAGCTGCTGGAGGCACAAGTGTGAAAGGGACAGACTGAGCCCCCGCCCCCCGGAGCCGACATTGCACTTGGGGAGACAGACGAATCAGGACCAGAGAGTGAAACGGGAGAACCCTCTAAGCAGGGTGGCCGTTCCCCGGGTCGGGGGCAGACAGCCGGGGGAGGAGGCCCCATCTGCACAGGCTGGGGCTGCATGCGTGTACGCCCTTGTCAGCCCTCATCAAATGATGTCCCCAGCATTTGCCCACGTCCCTCTGTGTACACTTCGCCCTCAAATACACTCAAGAGTCTGGGGTGCTAGCTGCCGGGTGCAGTGGAAGTGTTTGGGAGCAAAGGGCACTGAGGTGGGCAACTTACTTGGAAACCCACCTACTGAAGTGGGTGGTGAATGGACAGAGGACAGATATGTCATCAAGCAAAAGACCAATATCACTTGAAGGGTCTTGGGAATGAAGGGTGTGAGTGGTCACCACATACTCCCTTCAACTTGTTTGAAAAACCATCATCGCTTGTTGGGGAAATTCCATGGGATGGGGAAGGGGAGTGGGTGGGGCAGGACTGACCCCGGGTCGGTGTTTTAGGGGCTGGGCAATGGAATGGGGGGCCCAACATGCTTTCTATCAGCGGCAGGGCCTGCCTCCAGCTCCCCACCGTGAACAAACTGCGGGGAAGGCGAGGCCGCATTAGCAGTCCGCACCTCCGTTTCCTCCCCGAGGTCCCACTGACGGCCACCGCCTGGCCCCGCCCCAGAGCACCTGGATCCCTCCTTCAGAGCTGTTTCTATGCCCCATCTGGCTCCCCAACTCGTGTGTGAGCCCACGATCACTTCTGATCACGACCGCACCCCCAGCCCCGAGACGCGCACTCAGCATCCGCAGGGAGGCAGGCGCTCCGCGAATGGGCAAACGAGTGTGGCTAGGCGGCTGAGAGCTGGTTTCCACGGAGTCCGTGGGAATCACAGCATCGGCAGAAATCTCCTGAGTTTGGGGGGTTTCTCTCTTCCCTTGACACTCCCCAGGGTCGAAGTGAGGGTGTCCTGGGAAGCGGACACCCACAGTGTGTGGCGCTGGCACTTTGGCCCGGCCACTCACTCGCTCACCGTATGGCTCAGGACAGTGGTGTGGCCCGCCTCCAACCCAGCCCCCCCAGAGCTCGTCTCCACGGCTAACGTGAGAGTCACAGCCAGTCCCAGAACCACAGGGCAGCAGGCACGGTGCAGCCACTCCCGCCCTCGGGACCCGCTCCCTGGCTGCCCGCGCGCACACACACAGTGTAGCCGCAGTCTGGACACGCCCAGCCCGGCCACCATCCCCTCCCGCCTCCTGGCTTCCCCCCTCGTCAGACCCTGTCCCAGCTCTGCCCCAAACCCTCAGGGGGACAGCCTGGCCCCAGTCTCACCTGCCTCGCTGACCTCTCTGACCTCGTCTCCCCTAATTTCTCCCCTCCCCGACCCACTGCTCCAGCTGCTCCCTGTGCACACCCAGGGGTGTACGCCTCAAGGCCTGTGCACTTGCTGCCAGGCAGGACTCCCTTCTCCCAGGGGTCCCCGAGGCTCCCTCCCTCCAGGTCTTTGCTCAGCTGCACCTTCTCCATGAGGCCCACCCAGGTGGCCTTACTCCACAGTAGACCCTGTCCCCTACCCTCACCCCGCATCCCACCCTCCTAATCTCCTCACTCCATTCTTCATTTCCTGGACCCCGCATCACCCTTGAACCCCTCATGGAGTACGGCCCTAGTTTCCTGCTGTGGTCCACCCTCCCCTGCTAGACGGCAGCTCCCAGAGGGCCGGACCAGTCCGGTTCGGTTCACTGCTGTGTCCTCAGCACCTTCAGTAGCGCTGGTGCAAGGCAGGCGCTCGGCAGGGAATTGTCAGTGGGGGGCCCGGGTGGAAGGACAGCAGCCGGCCAGGCCTGCCGCTGCCACTGGCAGCCAGCCGGGAAGGTGACTGTGCAGGCCCCAGCCTGTGCCCCAGCCCCGGGGACCCAGTCACCGCAGCTGGGAGCTGGAAGGCGGGGCAGGGACCCACCTGGAGGGCGGGGATGCGGACACAGTTCACCAGGTACGGCTTGTTGGTCTCCAGCAGCGACACGAAGGTGAGGAGCTGGTGCCTGCTGCTCATCCTGTCCCTGTCGTCTGAAAGGGTGGATCGGACGGCTCAGGCCCACCCTGCCCAGGACCTCCCCTCCCGCCCCTTCCGCGCCCACCCCCAGGGCTGCCTGCCCCCCAGGGCCGTCTGCCCGTCCCTGGGAAGGGCACGCTCATAACGATCGAACGCCTGCGATTTAGTTTCAAAGACTTTGTCATATGGAATGTGACTTTGGCTACTTGGAGGTATGAAAAAGTTAATTTTGTCAGGAGTGACAACAGCATTGTGGTAATGCCAAAACCCAGTCATCATCATCATTATTATTACTAAGTGATGTGATGTCCGAAATATAATTTAACATGCTCCAGCAGAAAGGAAGGGCAGCAGATGCTGGCGGCCACAGAAGCTGGTGAGGGGCTTGTCTACCCGGATGATGTATACACATTTTCAAAATTAAAAAGAAGAATAAAGACAATGTAATGAGAAGAGGGTAAACTGACTAGTAATTTATAGCAGTTAGAAATGGTAAGTGTCCAATTCTATCTTTGATGTTTAAAATTAAAACCTGTTGTGGCCGGTGTGGCTCAGTGGACTGAGCACAGGCTGTGAACCAAAGGGTCGCCAGTTCAATTCCCAGTCAGGGCACATGCCTAGGTTGCAGGCCAGGTCGTCAGTAGGGGGCGTGTGGGGGGCAACCACACATTGATGTTTCTCTGTCTTTCTCTTTCTCTTCCCTCTCTATAAAAATAAATAAATAAAACCTTTAAAAAATAAAATTAAAACCTTATCTTTTTGAGTTCATATAGAATGTTTCGTTTGCAAATGAGGAAAAAAATGAGCTGCATCCCCAAGCCTTCCGAGGGGCGCCCGGGCTGGGGCCCAGCCCGGCCTGGCAGCCGTTGGGTGAGACGGCTTTCACAGGTGGGACTGAAGGCAGTCGGATCTCAGGCCCGAACTCCACCTTCTGTGTCTGCGGGGGGCCAGGAGGGCCCGGGGCAGGACAAAGTCAGGGAGTTTCAGAGCTCACGGAGGGATCTCCTGACGGGTTAAAAACTCAGTCCCTGGGGATGGCCACTGCGCTGAGGTCTGCCCAGGCCACCACGGGGAGGGGGAGGCTCAGTGTGGAGGTGACCTCGCCGTGCCTGCAGGTCCCATCTCAGCAGCCGCAGCAAAGGTAGAGTGTGGCGGGGAATGAGAGGGAACAGGGACAATGAGGGGCCCCTCCCTGCTCGGGCGCACGGTACCTCGGCTCCCTTCCCCGGCCCTGGCCTCCGGCTCCTTCGGGTGTAGCACCTCAGGGCTGCTGGCAAAGACACAGGTGGGGTGCAGCACGGTGCCCTGCTTGGCCTGGGTGTGGAAGATCTGCAGGGGCCAAAGGCAGCGCCAGGTGACCACAGAGACCCCGGACATGCTCTTCCCGCTGCCCAGAATGCTCTTCCTCCTCGCCCTAGCCAGGTTCCCTCCTCCGAGGCTCAGCTCAGGAGTCCCCCCTTCAGGGCGCCCTGCTGAGCCCTCCCAGGCCGGTCTGGGCCCCTCTGTGCTCCCCCAGCCCTGTGCGCCCCACCACAGCCCCGACCCCTGGGTCATGCGTCTGCACTGTGCCCCCATGAGGGCAGGGCCAGGGCTGCTTCAGCCAAGGCCACGTCCCCAGCACAGAGCGGGTTTGGGGACTGTATGCCAGACTAATGGGCAACACATGTGCACGGGGATGGGAGCAGGAAGGGGGCGCACCTGGTCAGAGTCTTTGCGGCCCCCGTTGAATGGGTCCGGGACGGCGAGCTGTGGGTAGAGGCCCCGGCCCAGCACCAGCTTCAGCAGAGCCAGCTGGTCCCGCGTCAGCGCTTGGGCCGAACTGGCGGCGGCCTGCAGCTGCTCCAGGTTGTGCCGCAGCTTGAACTTCACATCCTGGCGGGAACGCGGGGGCAGTGGGTCCCAAGGGGCTTGTAGTAGGACACCTGGACCCAAGGGGCTCTGCGGACTGCTGGGGCCGGGCCCTCCGCACAGACACCTGTCCTCCGTGTGAGGGCAGGGCCGTGTCCCCTCCGACCCCCAGGAAAGGATGCTGTCCTCGCTGTGGTCAACTCTGCCACCTCCCGCCCCAGGCCCCAGACAGCCCTGTGGTGCCCCACCTGGATGTCCACGTTGTCATCAGCCCCCCGGGTGGCTGTGCCCCGGTCCTCATCGCTGGAGCCGCCCTCCTGCTCCTCCTGCAGCCGCAGCACCTTGCGCCTGCGCGCCCCGCCCTCCTCGTGCTGCCGCTTCAGCTGGTGCAGCGCCCGGCGCTCCCGGCGCTGCTGCAGCCGTCTGTAGCTGTCCCCCGGCTTCGGGGCCTGGGTCCCGGGCAGCAGCCCGTGGTCCTCCAGCAGCTCCTGGGGGAAGATGGGGCCCAAGTGAGGGGGCACAGGGCAGACCGAGCAGGTGGGCTCTGGACCTAGACGCGGGTTCGAGTGTGGGGCCTGCCCTTGCTGGCAGGCGACATCACCCTTCTGAGCCACAATTTTTCTCCAGCGCAAAATGGGGACACTCCTAGTACCTCCCTGCCAGGGCTGCCAGGGGCTGAAATGCGCCAGATGAGAGCAACTTTGCACCGTGGGGACATGGACGGCCGCCCCAGGAAAGTGCGGTGTCGCTGCTCTTGGCCAACGAACGCCTGGGCCGGGGACGGGCGGGAGACAGGAGGAGAGGAGGGGCCGTGGCCATCCCCCAGGGTCTTCCCTGGGCTCCTGCCTGTCACGGCTCCGGTCAGGCCTCGGCCTGTCCCAGCCCCGTGGGTGTCTCAGAGGGTGGTCCTCCAGCCAGCAGCAGCGTCTGGGACACGGAAGGTGTGAAAATGCCAAGTGCTGGGCCCCTTCCCAGAAGACGCACTCAGAATCTTGGCGGGGTCAGGAGCTCGGGTTTAACAGACCCTGGGGGATTCTGATGAGCATCGGGGCGCCCAGCCCTCCCCTCTGCATGCAGCTTTGTGAAAGGGGTCTTCGCTGACCTCGCTGGGCTGGACCCTGTTTCTCCCTGAGCCCCAACCAACGAAGGATGTAGAATATGTGTGTGTGTGGCGGGGGGGAGACAGGGTGAGAGAGAGCGAGCGGTGTCTGGGTCCCACCCAAGGTTGAACCACAACTCTAGGAAGCCACAGAGGCTGAAAGACATGAGAATGGTCAGGACGTTGCTGGTCCCCGAGATGGGGATCCCCTGAAAGTATGTGAGACGCCTTGGTCAGGTGACCGCCTACTCTGGGTCTCGATCTGCCCACCTGCCACCAAAGGGAACGGGTAGCCCCAGGGGCGCTTGCATTTCATTTCCACCCCTCGGCGGCACACGCAAGACCACTGAGATGTACGACGTGGACCTTCTCATTCTCGAGGGGAAGGACGAGCACAGAGTATCAGCGGCACCAGTGAGGGGCAGGGCCACGTGATGAGAATAACACAGCGGACCCTCGTAAGAGACCACCTGCGGGCCCTCCTCCACGCACTAACCCCTGGAAGCCCCACGGGCCGTCTGAGGCGGGTGTGTTACCTTCCCGGTTTCGGGGGCGGAGCCGAGGCCCAGAGGGGCCCACAGCCACTTGCCCAGGGTCACAAGGCCAGCAAATGGCAGAGCTGGGATTTGCTGCTGGGACATCCAGTTCAGATGCAGCGCCTCCAACTACTGCCCTGCACTGCCGCCCAGCACTTGGCCTTTGGGTGCAGCCAGCTCAGCCCCCTGCTCCAGAAGCCGCGGCTGCTCCTGAGGATGCGGCACAGGACAGCTGGCCCTGTACTCCACCCCTGGGAGCCCTCCTGGATTTCCACCCACTCGCCTGGTCATCCATGGTGGGGGAGGTGCATGCAGGGTGGGGTCCTGCTCACTCTGTGCTCTGGAGTGTGCTGGGGGCACTCGCTCTGCCTCCCCCACCCCTGGCCTCCTTGTCCACCTGGGTGGGTCTGCCCCCTCCCATGCCCTGAGCCTCACCTTGAACTGGCGCCGCAGGTTGGCCATCTCATACAGCCGGTGTTCCTCTATGCCCTGGCGGCGGCACCACTTCCGCGAGTTTCCGCCCCGTTCAGATTTCACCTGGGTGGAGGCACACACAAGGTGGCAGGGCCTCCCACCCAGACCACCCCAGCCTGGGTCTGAACACCAGCCTCTGGGAGGATGCAAGGCAGGTAGGAGCCCTGTCGGCCCTCCCTGACACCAGCTTCCTTCCTTCTTCCAGGTCTCAGTGCTGCTGCCCCCTTCCTACAGGAAGCCCTCCCAGACCACACTGGCTCAGACACCCCCTCCCACTCGCTCAGCCCATCCTGGGTGGTCACTGTATAGGGACATGTCTGGCTTCCTGCACTGGACTGTGAGCCCCAGGAGGGCGGGGTCCCCGGCACTGCCCGGCACAGGGCCAGGCCCAGAGTGGGGGCTCAGGGAACGTGTTTCGGGATAATCTGGAATTTCTCTTGACGGCACTGGTTTTAACCAGTACTTTAGAAACACAGGCGCCCCTCCAGCCTGAGCTCTGACCAGCTGGTCCGAGGATGCTGGGGTCCGAGGGCTGGGGTGGGGGGCATGATGAGGAGCCAGAGCCTCAGGCAGGCCCTGACCCTGTGCAGAAGGACGGACAGACAGGTGTGGCCCTGCCACCAGCCTCACCTGCACCCAGGTGTTGAAGACATTGAAGAGCGTGAAGGGGTCGCCCTGGTCACTCTCCAGGGGCCGCCGCGCAGCCGCACACTCCAGGTTGCTCTGGGCGCTGCGGGTGAAAGGCGACTGGACGCTGAGTGCAGCTGCGATGGTGAGCACGGGCTCCGCCAGGTGGAACATGGAGCCCAGGATGAGCATCTTCCCTGGGGGGCGGGCAGCGAGCTGAGCCTCCCTCCCTCCAGGCCGCCCACGAAGGGTCTCCACAGCCAGATGGGCAGACTATGCCTTCCGGTCGTGTGACCTCGGGCAAGGCCTCCGTTTCCCCACTTGGGGCAGGCACGTGGTGGGCACTGCCTAGGCACTGGCTACTGCTTTTCTCTTCACGACCGGCTCCCCCAGCACGCCCTCCCCACGTGCCCGGCTCTCTGTTCTTCCCGGCACCGACTCTGACCTGCCACGGGCCTCTGTCCGCCCCCAGGACGGGACGCCATGCCAGCTGTAGCCTGGCCTGCCTGGCACACAGCAGGTGCTGGCTTTCGCACCTGTCTCAGGAGGAATCCTGTCCTGCCGACTTTATGTAATTGGACACGGGGAGGCAGGGGAAGATGGAGAGGGGGGCGGGGGAGGGGAAGGCAGCAGGGGACAGGAAGGACGGAGAAGGAAGGGAAGCAGGAGGAACAGTGTCACAGCGAGGTGAAAACACATTTCCAATGCTCAGACATGCCCTGTGGTTAGTGGCTTGTACGTCATGCGTCTGACTCACCCCCATGGGTCCCACTGACTGCCTTTCCAGAAAGTTCCTGCCAAACATGTAGCCTTGTTACGTAAAGGCAAGCAGTGAAACAAGTCTGTCCCAGGCCCCTAGCTCTGTCACCTCAGGCGAGTCCCCATCCTCTTTGCCTCAATGTCCCTGTCTGTGACGGGGGTGACAATGGCGTCCACCTGCTGTGAGGATGACTGTGTTTCACCCTGCGAGGCGCTAACAGTGCCCGGCCGGTGACCGAGCCATCTGGGCCCAGAGCCTCCCAGCACTGGGCCACCTCTGTTCACCGCCTGGCAGGGCTGGGACCAGTGGTGACCAAGGGACCGCCTGGGGAGTGCCTCCCGGCTCTCCCCCCTGCAGCACCCTGGGCGAGCGGGCCCCAGCCTCTCTCTGAGCCTCGCTTCCTCGTGGACGGCGAGCGCCACCCGTGCCTCCCCCGTGGGAGGTGGCAGGTGACGTGCCTGACGCACACGTAGCGCCCTGACAACTCCGGGCTCTGAGGCAGGTTCGTCCCGCTCCCTCAGGCACAGACCTGCGCCTCCCCCGAGCCCCCGCCAAGCCTCAGTTTCCTCATCGGTACAGAGAGGGGCCCGAGGCACTGCCCTCACTATGTGCGAATGAAATGATACCAGGTCCCTAAAGCCTTTCACCAGCACATGGGGAATGCAGCCTCAGAGGCGGCAGTCTCCAACTCCTGCCCGCCGAAGCCCCAGCACGGCGCAAGGGCACAGCCTGAACGAGGTTCACACAGAAGTTCTGTGAGCATCGTCCCCAGGAAATGGCACTGCGGGGCCGGGCCCTACTGGGACTGCTCTGTGGGCTACAGGCTGTCGGTGCAGCTGGAATGTCCTGAGTCAGGAGAATCAGGCAGGATGAAGGGCCTGAGTCAGCGAGTCAGCGTGCTACTCAGGAGGGCAGGGCTGACCCCGAATGGGGAAGAGAGAGTTCTGAAATTCCTGCCACCTACCGCAAAGGGCAGCACCAGGGCGGAGCTGGGACGGGCTGTACAGAGAGATGCTTGTTTGTTTGCCGCTGTCTCCCTGGCGCCTGGAGCACAGTCCCGCACAGGGGACCTTGTGACGGAAGGAACAGGCCGGGAGAAGGACCAGGCTTGTCCCCCAGGCACCAGGGGGCAAGCAGTGCCCTGCACCCACCCGGTGCCCCGAGGGTCACCCCAAGGTGGGGGGTCGTCCTCACCAATCACGACATCCACAGGCAGCTGGGCCAGCAGGGACCCGATGGGGGTGAGGGCCTCTGAGCTGTCCAGGGCCCCCTGGTCCCGGAGGTAGCGGATGGCCGTTTCCAGGCTGGCTGGTGGTGGGGGCTCAATGAAGGGGAAGGTCCTGGGGTCTCCCACGCTCATGCTCTTCATCTGGAATGAGAGCCAAAGCCCCCAGGAATGGGGGACACATGAGCCACTGTGCAGCCCTGAGAGGGCTCACGGATCACAAACTCATGAAACTCGAAAACCCCCAATATCAGCAACTGACTGGTGTAGTTCAGTGGACTGAGAACAAAAGCAGGCTTGTGAACCAAAGGGTCACCGGTTCGATTCCCAGTAGGGCACATGCCTGGGTTGCAGGCCAGGTCTCCCCACCCCCAGTAGGGAGCACACAAGAGGCAACCACACATTGATGTTTCTCTCCCTCTCTTTCTCCCTCTCTTCCCCTCTCTCTAAAACTAAATAAATAAAGTCTAGAAAAAATAAACAATATCAAGGCCCACTGTACAGAGGCAGGGGAGGAAGCCCACCATCTGTCTGGCCAGCACTTTTTCTCCCAGACCCTGGCCATAGCATGGGCGCATGCTCTAAGCTGGACCAAGCAAGGTTCCTCAGCCCCTGATCATAGTGATTGGCTAACGAATGAGCACATGACCTGAGCTGGCCCAATGAGAATCCTTCTCTGGGACTCTGCAAGCTAGAGCTAGGAGAGAGAAATTCCAGCATCCTCTCTGGTTGTGAGGGGCCAGGACAGAAGCTCAGAGACACTGTGGTTATTCTTTCATTGCCTGGAAATTAGCCCACCCACCGCAGATGGAGAAATCCTTAATTGTTCCTAAGCTAGACCTCCCCGCAAAATGGATATGCAAATCCATAAAATCCTCCTTCCTGCTTACAAGACTTAGAGCTGGGTTTCTCTTGTTTTCAACCAAAGAATCCCCATGAATTCAGAGGCCAGAGGGGCATCGGGTGGTGGGTGAATGAAGCGAAACACACACTCATCACCAGGCCTGCAATGGCAACTCACGAGACTAGGAGAGAGCCGGAAGAAAGCTCAGAGAGCCCAGGGGCTCAGCCCAAGTCTTCCAGGGAGGGGACCTGCTCGCCTGGCCCTGATCTGGAGGCCACCAGACATCTGGCCATCCACCAAACCCTGATGTTACCTGGGAGATCACCCACTCCCCATTAAAATACCTCTAAATTAAAAGCTCTGGCCCTGGCTAGTGTGGCTCAGTGGATTGAGTGCCAGCCTGCAAACCAAAGGGTCATAAGATTCAATTCCCAGTCAGGGTACATGCCTGGGTTGTGGGCCAGGTCCCCAGAAGGGGGCGCGCAAGAGGCAACCACACATTGATGTTTCTCTCCCTCTCTTTCTCTCTTTCTAAAAACAAAATGCAATCTTTAAAAAAATAAACAAACAAAAGCTCTGGGTGGTGGGTGGATTTTTTGTAAGCTCTCCTGGTATAAGCCCTCCTGGTGTAGCTGGGGCTGAGAATCAGTGCCACGGTCAGTCTGGCAATGCCACGCCCTGGGCAATTACAGGTCCCAGAGTGGACACAGGTGACCCAATTCTGCCGACAAGACAGGTTGGGAAATTGGCCAGAGTGCTTCTGGGAAAGGTTCCTGTGGCCTTAAAACAGACCCACAGAGAGGCGCAGCTGGCTGCCCCGGTCTCTGGAGGGCGGAGGAGGAGGAGGTGGTACCCATGGCTGTCGGAGCCAGACCGCGATCCAGGGGCAGGCCTGGGGCCGGACAGCCTCAGGGGGAATCGGGCTCTGCCAGCTGTGTGACCTGGGTCAAGGTACCTAACCTTTCTCTGCATCCACTTCCTTGTCCATACATCGAAACAAGATTACGTGCCCCAGAGAGTTTTCGTGAGGATTAAAAATTACATACATAAAACCCTTGGGGTACAGCCCAGCCTCCAGCGAGCACTAGGTCAGTGCTTTTTGTCATCAGCGTCGTTATGGTCATTATCATCAGGAGAGCCACTGATGAGCTGAGGTTGCAAAGACAGAAAGGCCCGGGTCCTTGATGACACCACTGAACCATTTAAACAACCAAGCCCCGGGAAGGCCCTGTCTCTCAGGCCTTCTGGGCATGTATAAAACCGGCCCTTTTTCCTTCTTGTTTAAGCCAGTGTTTTTCCAACAGCGGGTCATGCAGGTCAGGAACTCCATGAGGTGGGTCACAACCAGATTTATAAGAAATAAACTCAAACAAATAGAAACTATCGGCGTGTGGCACCCATAGCAAGGGACTGGGTTGTGCCACTCACACGCCCAGCCCCCCTGCAGGGAGGTGTGGTGGGGATAGAGCTCTGGCAGGGGGAGAGGAAGGGAGGCACGCCACCCTCAGAACTGGCCCGTGAAGCCCCCAACCCACGCTCCTTCCCTCCTGCTGGATGGCTGACGACGATGCGGACACCCCTCCGACACCCCCGGGGACGTGACGGGGCCAGGAGAGGGCAGGGGCCTGGCCCCGAGTAAAGGAAGCTGCCTGCCAACCTGGGAGCAACAGTTCTGAGCGGGCGAACGTGCCTGAGCTGAGCGAGACTCAGGGCTGAGACGTGAGCTGTGCCACCGCAGGACCGGAGAAGCCCCGGTTTTACTGTGACAGCCACTTCCTGACTGGTTTTCTGGGGTGGCTGAAAGCACTCTGACTCAGTCTGCCCGTGACTGTGTTCTTCCTCCTGTGACCCTTGGTTCTCCCCATGACCCTGTGCATCTGGGCAACAACTGCCCCCTTGATGTGGGATCTGGCATTTGGAAGGGCCCAGTGCCCCTCAGGGGCCTGTCCAGCTCCACCTTCCCTGGCCCTGAGCCCTGGGACTCATCCCCTCTAAACGCCCCCCCCTGCTCCCCCCACCACCCCAGGCACTGGCCTCAGGAACCAGCGCCCTCCCTGCCCCCGCCTCACCTGTAGCACCAGTGTGTCCAGGGCTACCCTTCGAATCTCCGGGACAGCGTAGGGGGCAAAGGCGTCGTAGTCCGACTCAGCGTAGAGGCGGAAGCAGACGCCAGGCCCCGTGCGGCCCGCGCGGCCCTTGCGCTGCTCGGCGCTGGCCTGGCTGATCCAGAACTCTTGCAGCCGCTGCAGTTTGGCCTGGGGGTCGTAGCTCATCTCCTTCACCTTCCCTGGGAGGGGGAGGGAGCGAGTGGGGGTGAGGGGCGGGGCAGGGGGGCGTCTGTGTGCAGCAGCCACATGGGCCCTGCCCACGCCTGGCCCTGGCCCTGGCCCTTCACCCTCGGACACCTCACTGACTCTCTGTTCCATGAACTTGGCCCCTGCCCACTGCTTGCTCTGGACCCAGCCCTGCCATTCCGTTAATGGCATCTCATCTCCTCACGCACACATCTTCTCATTTATTTTCTCAGGCCTCCGTTTATATGTACAGGGGTTCAGACATCTGACACACGTGTGTCGGGCACTGCACTTGGCCCTCGGGGTCCAGCTGTGGACCAAACGAGGTCCCTGGTCTCCAGCGGCTGAACCAACACTCTATTTCATCAGTTCTAAGACCAACCTGTTTTCATATAGTATTGTCCCTGATGTATTTTATTTTCTAAAATATTGTATTTATTTATTTTTGGAGAGGAGAAGGGAGAGAGAAAAAGAGGAAAACATTAATGTGCAATTGCTTCTCATGTATCCCCTACTAGGGACCTGGTCCGCAACCCAGGCATGTGCCCTGACTGGGAATCAAACCGGCAACCCTTTGGTTCACAGACTATACTCAATCCACTGAGCCACACCAGCCAGGGCTGATGTATTTTAAAATCCATGGCATGTCCATGTTTAATGGACAGCATTTTAAAATCTTAATGGTACATAAAATTATGGAACGTTTTATCTTGGGCATCCCGGGTGAAACTCTGAGCATTCGCTCTGTGCCAAGCCCCATCCTGAGTGCCCCAGTGCATCCACGCAGCTCATCCCCCCACTGAGGGAGCACCGTCCTTTACGAACAAACAGACTGACACGCACGGTGGTCACACTGGCCAGGCTGTCTCCAGCGTCCCCTAACCACTCTGCTCCGCTGACTTTCCAGAGCAGTCGATTCGGGAAGGCAGACCATAAAGAGATCACCGGATCTAAAATCTGATGCCCATACCAGGCAGAAAAGCAAAGCTCCTTTAGGAAAGCAGGCGCGCAAGATAAGGGAGAGGCCGTTTGGATCAGGTGGACAAGGTGGGCCTCGAAAGGGGAGACACTCATGCAGGCCCTAGAATGAACGGGGGATGAACGAGAGAGCCCTGTGACACCGGGAGGAAGACAGTTCAATGCAGGGCAGCCGTAGGTGCAAAGGCCCTGAGGCCGGGGCAAGCCGGAATGTCTGAGAGAGACCAAGGCGTTGCCACTGCTGCACAGCCCTAAACGCCACCTACTCCCTGGCTCTGGTCTGGCCACGCCTGCGCACCTCCAAGTCACGCCCTTCCCCCCACCCCACCCTCGGGGTGGCTGGGGGCAGCCTTACCCGAATCTACTACAAAGCGGATACCATCGATGGTGACGGAGGTCTCAGCAATGTTGGTGGAGAGGATGCATTTCCGGACTCCAGGGGGCGCCACATCAAACACCTGGGGGAAAGTAAGGAGGTGAGATGGGGGCCAACTCAGCCCTTGTCAGCCATGTGTCTGGGGGCCTCCTGGACGCCCCCTGGGTGTCTCACACCCATAGGGCTAAACCAGCGCAGTGCCTCCCCTCAAACTCTTGCCCCCTCAAGTCTCCTCCTCAGAGATGGCTCGTCATTCTGGACCAGACTCCAGGCTGCCCTGGGTCCTCCTCCACACCCCTCCCCGCCGCCCCGCTCCAGACACACCTGAACATGGTGAACATTTCCTGATTACACAACCTCCTCCCTAAACCCACTGCCCCTGCCCCGGTCCACGCCCCTCCTTTCCCTCCAGATGCTGCTCCAGCTTCCTCCTGGGTCTCCGGCCTCTAGACTTATTCCCTCCAGGGCACCCTTCCCTCGAGGCAGAGGCATCTGCTGAAGCACAGACCGGCGCTGCCCACCTTGCTCAGAGCCCTCCCAGGGCTCCCCAGTGTGCTCAGGACAAGGCCCAGGCACTGCGGGCTAACCCTGTGCTCCTCTCCAGGCCCATCTCTCCTGGCTTCCCCTTCATAACTCGGACCCCAGCTGCCCTGTATGGAGCTGCCCAGCTGCCCCGTCTTTCTCTCACCCCAGGTTCTTTGCACAAGCCCTTCTTTTGGACCGAAGAGACAGTCAAGCCTGGTGGCTTAGGAGTCAGTGAAATGGCCTGGGGACCAAATGCAGGTAATGGCACACAGCCTCACCTGGTCAGTGCACAGCTGCTGTCCCACTGTGTGACAGCAGACTCACTGTGACAGAGACACTTGACCCGCACAATCTACAAATGCGGACTCCCTGGCCCTTCACAAAAAGTCGCCAACCTCTAGTCAAGAGCGTGGGCTCTGGTGCCAATCGCCGAGGTCCACAGCCTGGCTCTGCCACTTGTGTGACTTTGCACTTGTGCCAGCACCTCGGCTTCTGCACCAGAAAGCGGGAATGACAGGGGCCACGGGACCTGGCAGGGAGGACTAAATGAGGTCAGCCGCAGCCAGAACTCCGGCCACTCCCAGCACATGCTCCACTCTGCTCTCCGCCCCCTGCTTAGGCCGGGCTTTCTCAGCTCTCAGTTTTGAAAGCCCCTTCCTCCAGGAAGCCCTTCCTCAATCCACCAAGACTGTGCTCTGAGTTCAGGAGCTTTCCTCTACCATTTATAACGCTGCCAGCTGTTCATCCATCTCCCCCGACAGACCAGCAGCCACCTCAGGGGAAGGGCCACATCTCAGCCCCCAGTGTGTCCCCTGAGCCCTGAGGAGGCACCAAGTAGGTGCTCAGGGCGTATCTTCATCGATAAGCAATACTGGTGGCCTGCAGAGGATTTTCCGGAGGTGACCACGTAGTCAGCCTCCAGGACAGTCCCAGAGAGTCTCACCTCCCAGGACACTCATCCTCATCCAGCACCTTCGCAGCGAACAGGGTGCGCTGGCCTAACTAAGGGACCCTGCAGAGATGATGGGCTGTGACGTCCAAGGCCAGGCCATAGAAGACGTTGTGGTTGCTGTCTTGGTCTCTTAGGGACAACCAGCCATCATGTGGCAAGGACACTCAAGCAGCCCCCCGGAGAGGCCCACGTGGAGAGGAACGGAGGCCCCCAGCCCCAGCTGACTGCATCCTCCTGAGAGACCCTCAGCTAGGACCCCCAGCTAAGCCCCTCCCGAACTCCTGATCTACAGAAACTACGTGAGTGATGAGTGCTTATTGCCCTAAGTTGCTAGGTTTGGGGGTGATCCGTCGCACAGCAATACTAATACAGTGATCCAAAGGCCTCTCTCCTGGTCCCGCGCCATTCCAGCCACATGCTCTCCTCACCTTTCCCCACGCCCCACCCACCGCTTCTCCCTCCAGCCCTTTGCTCAAGCTGGTCCACGCGCCTGGACTGCCTTCCTCCTCTTTGTCTTACTCCAAACCCTCCTGGTCCTTCACAGCTAAGCTCAACGCCTCCCGCCTCACCAGGGAGCCCACCCAAGCACAGACCCCCGCCCAAACGATGTGAGCAGCCCCTGTGCAGCCTGCAGCCCTGCATTCATGATGGCCTTACGCCCCTCCAACCCTGCCCCCACCCCACACGCACAGCCAGACCCCCACCCTGCCCGGCTGCTTGCCATACCTTGTCCTGGTCGGCCACCGAGAGGGCGCTGTGCAGCGGCAGCACCACCCAGCGCTGGGTGTGGCTGGCGTAGGTCTGGGCAGCCTCGAGCACGGCGCTGATCTCCGCCATGCCGCTGAGGAAGACGAGGAGGTCGCCCCGCTCCTCGGGTGGGTACTTGTTGTCAATGGCCTGGAGCACCCTCAGGAAGGGCCTTGGGTCCAGCTTCTCCGACTTGGACACGGTCGGCTCCGCCTCAATCGGCTGGTACACGACCTGTGAGGGGATAGCCCGGGCGTGAGTGCCCAGGTCACTTCAGCTCAGAGCAGCAGAGACGGGGCCACAGCTGGCAGAGAAGACCGATTGGGCAGGTGGGCGGCCAGCAGCACGCTCAGCCAGGTGAGGAGGACACACACAAAGCACAAGGGATCCAGGGAACTGGGAGGCTTCCAGGGTGCTGGCAAGGTCTGATGTTTCTTCATCTGGGTGCTGGCTGCATACAGGTATTTAATTGGTGAAAATTAGTTGAGCTGTTCACATGATGTGTGCATTTGTGTTTACAGGGTAACTTCAACAAGAGAATTTTAGGAGTGCAGTGAGGATTAAAAACCTAGAAATTCTTTTTCAGAAAGTACCCTTACTCTCCCCACCCCATTTTTTTTTTAAAGATTTTATTTACTTTTAGAGAGAGGGGAAGGGAAAGAGAAAAAGAGGTTGAGAAACATCAATGTGTGGCTGCCTCTCTCATGTGCCCCCTACTGGGGACCTGGCCCGCAACCCAGGCATGTGCCCTGACTGGGAATCGAACCGGTGACCCTTCAGTTATAAGACAATGCTCCAACAAGCTGAGCCACCTGGCCAGAGCAGGGAACTGCCTGCTTTCCCCGCTGGCCAGCAGGAAGCCAGAGGGCAGAGGGCCCATTAGCACTGTCCCCACTGGCCCCCCACCCAGGGAAGACAGGAAGGTGGGAGCGGGGGAAGGAGATCTGGAAGAGCATTCAGAAGCCTTCTGGGACAGGGCCAGTCTGTCTGTGAGCAGGATTCAAGTCCTGGCTCTGACACCGGTGAGTCATCCTGGGAGCCGGTGACTTCACATCTCTGAGCTTCATTTCTACCTCCGTGGCAGTAATCTGTGGCACAGGCTACTGGGGCTGTGGCAAGGGACTCACATGGGCCCTTGTTTGTTAACTAGGGAGCACAGAGTATACACTTGATACATGTTAGCTGTGACAGTCATCATTACTATTATGGACAAAAACTATATGGAGGCTCTAGCAAATAGGTTGAGAAACGGGGAGAGTCCAGGACAGAAGTTGCTGACTGAAAGTTCAGGACCAAGAGTTGGGATGCTAAAAGAATTTCTGCCTAGCTTTGGGTACAGCAAACTATGAGAGAACCTAAAAAAAAAAGATTTTTCATGAATATCAAATTCCCTTTCTTTCACCTAAAAGGCCTGCCTCTGGATTTCAGCTTCTTCAGCAAGAGTTGCACTCAGGTGGGGGTGAATGAAACGTAATGAAGGGCCATGGAGTCAGGCCTGCCCCTGGGGCTGCTGTGAGAATAGGATGAGATGGGGTATGACAAGTGATGTGGGAGACCCATGGTGGTCCCCATAAAGTCTGCTTGTCTTTCCCGGCACAGTCACCAAGAGAGAGGGGGGGGGGTATATCTCCAGCCTCCCTTGCAGCTACGTGGGGCTCAGCAATAAGAATGGAAGCAACTGCACGGCCATGTCCAGCTTCAAAACAAACTGGACTTTCCCTGGACTTTGGCTCCTTCCCTCTTCCCACAGACCCTGACCACACAGAGCAGGACACCTAGGACAGTGCTTCTTACCCGGTGTAGTGCTGCCAGGAACATCTGGCAACATCTGGAGACATATTTGGTTATCACACCTGGAGAAGGAGGCTGCTACTGGCATCTAATAAGTAGAAGCCAGGAATGCTGCTAATGATGCCACAACACACAGGGCAGCCCCCACAACTAGTAATCACCCAGCACAAAATATCAACAATGCTGAGTCTGAGAAACCCTGCCTTACGAGATGGGAGAGCAATGAGAAAGAGTGAACCTGGGTCCCTGAATGACCACATGGAACTGAGTTCCCATTAACCTGGACCAGACGGACTGTTAAAATGTGAACCTTGCCCTGGCTGGTGTGGCTTAGTGGATTGAGTGCCAGCCTGCGAACCAAAAGGTCACGGGTTTGATTCCCAATCAGAGTACATGCCTGGGTTGCAGGCCAGGTCCCCAGTAGGGGGCACTCAATAGGTAACCACACATGGGTGTGTCTCTCCCTCTCTTTCTCCCTCCCTTCCCCTGTCTAAAAATAAATAGATAAAATCTTTAAAAAAAAATTTGAGCCTTTACAGTTTTGGGTCTCCTCTGATAAACACCACTCTTCCCAGCACATGTAAATGCTCAGAAATGGCAGCTTTAGAAAAGGCAGAGTGAGAATATCCTTAATTGAAGGGATGGGAAGCAGAGCCGCAGAGAAGGAACAGGCCCAGGTCTGGCCAGAGACCAGGCGGGAGGCCTGGGGGTGGGGAGCAAGAGCACTGACCGTGATGGGGAAGAGCCTCCCGGGCACCTGCACCACAGGGGCATTGCCGAAGTAGCTGGAGAAGAGCGAGATGTTGATGGTGGCTGACATGAGGATGACCTTGAGGTCAGGCCGCTGGGGCAGCAGGCGCCGGAGGACGCCCAGGAGGAAGTCGTTGTGGAGGTGGCGCTCGTGGACTTCATCCACGATCAGGACCTGGTACTGGGGCAGGCTGGGCTCCCGCTGGATCTGCCTCAGGAGCAGCCCCACCGTCAGGAACACAACCTTGGTGGCCGCCGAGCGCGTGCTCTCAAAGCGGATCTGGTAGCCGACCTGGGTGGGGGGTGGGGGGAGGGTGGTCAGCAGAGGGCCCTAGACCGGGGCACCAGCCCCTGGCCCTGCCCAAAACAAAATCTGAGCAAACGCCCCCACCTCAGACTCCGGGGCCCGACACGCTTGGGTGTGAATCCCAGCCGTGCTGCTCCAGGCCATCGACTGGGCAAGCAGTTCCATCCCCCAGACGCGTACTGTTCTCTCCTGTGAGGGTTTTATGTGCTAATGCGCATAAATCATTTGGGGCAGAGCCTGGTGTATGACACTAAGTAATTATAATACTAATAAGTAGCTTTTCCTAGAGGCCTCACTGTGTGCACCAGTGGTTATAAATGCTTCATGTATATCAACCCACTGAGTTCACACAACCGCCATAGGGCGGTGGGGTTAGTCTCATCCTCACTGTGCAGGCGGGAGGACTGAGGGCGCTCATCAAAGGCAACAGCTAAAGCGTGGGACCTCACAGCACACACGTGCACACACGTCGGTTTTGGGCGAATTACAGTGCTAAACATAAGAGTTATTAGGAAAAAACATAGAACATCTTCATGACCTTAAAGTAGGCAAAGAGTTCTTCAACAGTGCCAAGATTGCCACCCACAGAAAGGCAATGACAGACTGGACTATATTTGAATGAAAACTCTCTGTCATCAAAGGGTGCCGTTCAGAAAGTAAAAGGCAAATCATAGAGTAGGGAGAGTAAAATAAGGAATTTTAAGTAGTTAAAATCACGTCATTTTTTAAAAGATTTTATTTATTTATTTTTAGAGAGGGAAGGGAGGGAGAAAGAGAGAGAGAAAGAGAAACATCAATGTGTGGTTGCTGGAGGCCGTGGCCTGCAACCTAGGCATGTGCCCTGACTGGGAATCGAACCTGCAATGCTTTGGTTTGCAGCCCGAGCTCAATACACTGAGCTACTCCAGCCAGGGAAAAATCACGTCATTTTTTAAAATATGTATTTATTGACTGTAAAACTTAACAATTATATTGGTAGGCTGGTCAAACACATTTATTAAAATGTATTTGCAAAAATAAAATTTTTTTAAAAGATAAAAGAAATCACCAAGTAAGAGCCAATATTTGCAATACATCAATGCTACTGAGGACTCTTACTCAGAACCAATACAGGCCCATAAATCAAGACCAAAAAGACAGACAATGCAAAAGACAAACGGGAAAAAGGCTCGAACAGACGCTTCACAAAACAGGCTTTGCAAAATAAATGGCCAATAAGTACAGGAGAAGGTGCTTAGTGCCCTTCATCACCAAGGAGATGCGAATGAAAACCCACACCTCAAACCAGAATGTGGTGCCGCTCCACAGCCACCAGAAAAGCTACCGTGGGAAAGGTGAACTGCAGCAAGTGCTGGTGATGCCACAGGATGTGCTGCCGGTGAGAGGGTACGTCGGCACGACTGCGCTGCAAAACGGTTTGGCAGTGTCCCTCCCCTAGATATACACCCAACAAAAGCAGTCCCCAAGAGTCCCCAACAGGCATGTGTGTCATAAAATGCTCCCGGCTGGTGGAGCCTGTGAGCCAAAGTGTCACGGGGTCGATTCCCAGCCGAGGCACAGGCCTGGGTTGCGGGCCGGGTCTCCAGTAAGGGGCGCACGAGAGGCAACCACACATTGATGTTTCTCTCCTTCTCTTTCTCCCTCCCTTTGCCTCTCTAAAAATAAATAAATAAAATCTTAAAAAATTAAAAAAAATAAGCCCTGGCTGGCGTAGCTCAGTGGATTGAGTGCGGGCTGTGAACCAAAGTGTCTCGGGTTCGATTCCCAGCCAGGGTACATTCCTGGGTTGCAGGCCATAACCCCCAGCAACCGCACATTGATGTTTCTCCCCCCCCCCCTTTCTCCCTCGCTTCCCTCTCTAAAAATAAATAAATAAATCTTTTTTAAAAATTAAAAAAACAAAATGCTGACTGTGGCACCATTCACAAGAGCCTGAAACTGGAAACCCTCCAAATTCCCATCAGCAGCTGAGGGGACAGATATCCGTGGCCGTCACGACGGGCTACTGTATAGCACTGGGACCACACGGTCACAGTGGATGAACCTCACACAACCAACACCGAGCAACAGAGGGCAGGCGCAAAGGAGAACATACTTTCTAATTCCACTTACGAACAGTAAGAGGCAAAAACAGTCTGTGATAACCTATCAGTAACTCCCGTGTGATAACCTAGCACTAAGGTGATCATCTGTCACTAAGAACAGTGATGACCCTGGGGGCCTCCAAGTAGTAACGGGAAAAGCATTTCTGGGGTGCTGGTAAGTCTGATGTTTTTAGAGATTTTACTTATTTAATTTTGGACAGAGGGGAGAAAGGGAGGGAGAGAAACATCGATGGGTGGCCCCTGATACGCAACCTGACCCGGGACCGAACCTACAACCTGGTTCTGTGCCCTGCCTGGGAAGGGAATCGAACTGGTGACCTTTAGCTTTGCAGGATGACGCCCGACTAACTGAGCCTCACGGTCCGGGCAAGTGAGTTTGAGTCTTTTTTTTAAAACAATCTGGGTGCTGATCACACAAATATATTCAACTTGTGAAAATTCACAGGGCTGTCTACTGACAATACAGGCCTTCTCCTGGGCTGGGAGCATTCTCACTTGAATAACAATTTCTAAGTGGTAGAGGCAGGATGGGACCTCATTCTTTTTTATGGCTGCCTAGGAAAAAGACTGATGAATCTTCGTGACATTTCCACTACTTTGTACTGTTAAAGTGCCATAGTCAGAACTCAGAGATGTCAACCTCAGAGATGTTGTGGGGTCCCTTCCAGACCACCCCAATAAAGTGAGTATTGCAATAAAGTGAACTGTAATCTTTTTGCTGGTGGAGGGACTTGCCTTCAATTTGGGGAAAAAATGCAACATCTGCGAAGTGCAGTAAAACGAGGTCTGCCTGAACTGGGTGATGTTAGTGCCTTTACCATGTGGACCATATCCAGGCCAATCAGTAGATAAATTTCTAGCAGAATCAGTGCTGGCTCAAAGGGTAAGTGCTTTTGTATCCTTTATGGATACTGCCAAGGGCAAGCAACTTACTCCCCAAGGTCACTCGGGGGAGACTGGAATCCTGTTGGCTCCCACTCACCTGTGAGCCGTACTGACTGAGGCTCTCAAAGCCCACGCGCTTGGCCAGTGAGATGCAGGCGATCCGCCGGGGCTGGGTGCACGCCACGTGACTGAAGCCAGCAGCCAGCAGGTACTGGGGCACCTGAGTGGACTTGCCACAGCCCGTGTCACCTGCCACCACCACCACCTGATGCTCCTTCAGTGTCTTCAGGATGCGCTGCCCGTACTGGGCAATGGGCAGCGCCGCCCGCTCACGCTGCAGTTTGGCCAGCCGCCCAAACGCCTGCTTCTGGCCAAAATCCAGGTAGTGCAGCAGGGCTCGGCGGAACTCGGACACTCTCTCTGGGGGCAGGCGCCTGCCCGGCCCCCGAGAGCCCCGAGTGTCAGGGCCAAGGACAGACAGGTTGATGCGGTACCGCGGGTCGTAAGTCTGAGGGAGGTCAGCCAGTGCGGGGGTGCTGTGCTTGGGCTGCCCAGGGTCTTTCTCCTCCTTCCTGGTGGTCTTGAGATGCTGGAACCTCTGTAAACGTTCGAAGAAGGTCCAGAACTTCTGGCATTCCTCAGAACCCTGGCGGATGTAATCCTCATCCCGGAAGAAGGCATCCTCAAAGAGACTCCGGGTCTCTGGACAACTCCAGTCCCACTTCTCTGGGGCCTCCTCTCCACTCGGAGCCCGGGGTCGGTCCCGGTGACCCCGGTCCTCCCTTGTTCTGGGAGGAGGCATGCTGGACCTATTCACAACACAGTCACAAAAGTGGCCTCAGTTCTGAACACCGGGACCAAACATTCTCATTCACTCCCCACTTCCTGCAGGGAGGGGCCAGTGCTTGTAATAAGGGGCCTTTTTCTCTTCAGAGAGCTAAGTTTCCTCCTCATGGATGGCACAGGCGATGGCAGAGTGAGTGGCCAGGGGCCTGGGTCAAGCTGGTGACATAGACTCCTCAGGGCTCCTGCAGCGACCTCTGGGGTGGACACGAGTTCACCCTGGTTTCCAGGCCCTGATGGTTTGGGGGAAGAGAACAGAAGACATTTGCTTTTAGAAACAGTTACTGAAAGCCTGCTGGACGCAAGCACTGGACTAGAAGGGACAGTAATGAGTAAGACCACCCTGAGCCCCTGCAGGTGGTCGCGGTCACGTGCAGGAGACAGACATGTCACCAACTCTGACAATCCAGTGACTGGGGCTGCTATAAAGCAGACCCCGGGGGCTGTGGGAGACTTCTGTGACCACAGACACATGAGAGGTGTAGTGTAATGAAGAGTAAGGCTGCTCAGGCCAGTGTGACTCAGTTGGTTGGAGCGTCGTCCTGTACACCAAAAGGTTGTGGGTTCAATTCCTGGTCACGGCACATACCCAGGTTTGATCCATGGTTGGGGTGTGTATGGAAGGCAATCAATAAATGTTTCTCTCTCACATGGATATTTCTCTCTCCTTTCCTCTCTCTTCAAAATCAGTTTTAAAAAATCATATTCAGCCCTGGCTGGCGTAGCTCAGTGGATTGAGCGCGGGCTCGAACCAAAGTGTCGCAGGTTCGATTCCCAGCCAGGGTACAGGCCTGGGTTGCAGGTCATGACCCTCAGCAACCGCACATTGATGTTTCTCTCTCTCTCTCTCCCTCCCTACCTCCCTTTCCTCTCTAAAAATAAATAAAATTTTTAAAAAAAATCATATTCCTGGGTGGATTAAAATAATAATTATTTTTTTAATAAGGGAAGGGTTCCTAATCTGGGATCTACTGAGCTTCAGAACACCTGGGAGCCCTTTAAAATTAAGTGCACAATTTTGCAAGCATGCATTAACATATGTACTGTTTTTGCCTGCCTGATACATCCTGTCCTTTTTCTGGTTAACAGCACACACCTTCCTTTGGAGAGCTGCCCTTCCTGGATTCCATATGGTTCTGATGGCCTTTAAGTCAGAGAGAACTCCTATTGGCTGGGCAAGTGACAAAGGCCTGGCCAGTCACAGTTCCCTACTCCCCCTTTAACCAGTGATTGGTTTGAGAGGTGGACACATGACCCAGGGGGTGCCAATCAGGACCTTTCTCTGGAATTTCCTCTAGGTGACTAGGAAAGAAAAGCTCTCATTTTATGTACTGGCTAGACAAAGATGATTAAACCCAAAGCCATTTGTAATAGCTCCTCAACATGAATCCTTCCTAGATTTTCATCCTGAAAAAGCCTGCCTTTGGGCACAAGGAGGCACCCACAAAGCACACACTGAACTACTGTAAAGAGAAAAGTGAACGGAGGTGAGAAGCTCAGCAACATCACTTAGTCCTTGGGGCTGTCTCCTCCTACCCTCCACTGCTGGGCTACACAAGAACATGTCCTTTTGCCTGGAGCTGGGTTTCTGACTCTCAGTGCCAAAGTCCCAACTTATAAAGAGCATACCCTCCTATGTGCCAATTACTGGAGGGAAATGCATCACTCGTATTCTTAAAGGGGTTTATGATCTTAAAAGAGTTCCGAGCCTTCCATGGTAGAGGCTTTGGAGTCGGGCAGATCTGGGTCTGACCCTCAGCTTCATCATTTACAAGCTGTGTGAGCATCAGCAAATTAATTCCTTTGAGGATGTTTGCTTCTTCTAATAAATGGGGACAAGACCCATCTCAAAACGTGGCGATGTTTATCACCTAGCCTGGTATACAGAAGCTAAATAGTCACTAGTATTCCAAGTTCAGTGGTTTCTCCCAATGACTAACAGGGAAAACAGCAAGAACCAGGGGCATAAAACCTGAGAAAAATCCCACTCAAAAGGCCACAATCTGCCTCCATAATGGTATCAGCGGTGCTTCCCCTTATGGTGCCTTCCAGCTCTCAGTGGCCATCAAGGGGCAGAACTCAGAGATGCGACCTCCAAGGTCTCAGGGGGACTCAGGCCAACCCTGGGAGTTCTCAGAGCCAGGTACGGCTTTCAGCTGAGGAATCTGTGAATGGCAGAGCAGCTTCCCACAGCAGCAGTAGCCCATGGGGAGCACACATCGCCTCTTACTGAACACCTGTACTAGGTGACACCAGAGCAGCTCCAAAGGAATTCCTATTCTAGGAAGGAAGAGGAAGAAAGGGCCATAAAGGGCTGCTGGAATAGTAACCCCAGGTTCTCAGAAAGAAACGGAGGACGTTCCCTCAGGCTTCACACTGCCTGTGGGCCCCAGTGAGAGCATCCCCAGGGCTCTCAGGGTGTCACTCTTTGAAGCTTTTACAATTTCTGGATCTACTCGTTTCTCTGTCACCCTGCCTCTAACCACCTCCTCGTTTCTCTCCTAGGCTCGTGGTTTTCAGAGGTTTTGTCTGCATCCCTGTTCCGCTCCTCTCTGGTATTCCATGCTCCGGTCTCAGTGTTGTCTTTTCCAGGCAATCCTGCTCACCACCCTCGTCCCTCTTCCCTTTCCCCACCTCTGGTCCCATGTCACTTCATTCATCTGATCCTCTCCCCTGTTTGTATCTTTCAGTCTGATTTTCTTTTCCTGTTAAGTCCAACTGCTTCTTTCTATTTGACGACCTGTTACTATTCCTCTCGAGTACTCCATTTGACTTTCTCATTTTGCTTGGATTTTTTTTGGATGATTTTTGTCTCTCTCCAGTTCTCCATCACTCTCTTCCTCCACCGTGAGTCTCTTCATCTCTCCATCTAATATCTTGACTCACCATTGTCTAAAGATCAAATAACAGCTGCCCTGCTCGGGCGGCTCAGTTGGTTGGAGCATCATCCCTTAAACTGAAAGGCTGGGAGTTAAATCCCAGGTCAGGGCACACACCTAAACTGCAGGTTCAATCCCTGGTTGGTGGGCATTTCAGAGGCAATCAACTGAATGTTTTTCTTTCTTTCTTTCTCTTTCTAAAATCAATAAATATATCCTCAGAGGGGGACTTTAATAAAACTAGAAATAGCTAACATTTACTTAGTGCTTACTCATGTATCAGGTCCTATCCTAAATCGCTTATATACACTGACATGCACACATTTACATATATACATACATTGTTCCCACAACCTTGAAAAGGTGCTATTATGCTACTGAACCACATAGAGAATCAAGAACAAGTGGCAGGTGAGAAATGCAAATCTAAGGGTTCAGGCTTCCCTTACTCCTCCTCTGTCTCTATTTTTCAACGTGATTCTCCACTGCCTGGTTTTATCCTTCCATTTTAAGATTTCATACTGTCCTTTCAGTTCTACGACTCTCTCCATTTCCCCAGCGGCAAGGTCTCTATTTCTCCATACTCAGGATTACTCCATGTATCTGCTTTTATTTTCCATTTCTTGTCCACCTCGCTCCATTCTCATCTTGTTTTCTCTCCCAGTAACTTTCCCTCAATTCTGCTCACGTCAGCTTTTGTCGGGTTCTCCCTATTTCACTGTCCCCGTCTTTCTGTGTCTAGTGGTCTCTCCCCATGATTCAGTCTTTCGTTCCTCCATTTAAAGTGTCCTCTTCGGTCTACTTCTGTTCGTTAGTTGCCACTATGGTCTTTCCCTCCATCTCCCAAGTTCCCGGTACGATCACATTTCTCTCGTAAGCTCTGTGAGCCTCTCTCGGTGGCGCCCATCAGGTTCTTGCCCTCGACCTCTCCAGTTTTCAGCTTCCCTCCTCCCAGAACCTCCCCGTCTCAGATTCTCGCAGCTTTCCATGCCTCCATTTCTTTCCGTCTAGGCCTCTCAGTCCCTCAGATTCTCTCAAGGTTCTCCACCTCTACCCACTTTTCCCGGACCCTAGGCTTCCTCCAATACATTTCCTCATCTCGCGATCCCCCTCCACCCTCAGCTCGCGCCCAAGCGGCGTGATACCGGACCCAAGTCCGGCCGCCTCCACCACGAACCCACACAACCGCCCTGCCCCCCTCACCTCCAACACCGAGACGAAAACTTGAACTTCCGGTTTTAGAGCTTCACGCGCCGAAGCCAGTTCTGCGCCTGCGCAAGTCATCCCACTCTGCGCCTTGCGCCTGCGCACGCTCCAGCCCCGCCTCGCGTCAGGCGGAGCCCGGTTTGGCGCAGCGTCCTCTAGGGGCCAGTGGAGGCGCTGCGGCGGAGACTTGCTCTGTCACCCGCCCCGTAACAGCCACTCGCACCTTGGGATGGCCTGGACCCTAGGGTTTTAACCCAACGGGGGAGGTGGCGGAACCTCAGATACTAATTGTTAATGCATAATTACTTTATCAATTCGCTAATAAGCCAACTCAACTCCCCAGCTCCCTGAAGCCAGGGGCATTTCTGCCTTGGAGGTCCTACGTTCTCTAGAACATAGGATACTCCAGATTTAGCGTCTACCTCTGAGATCAGAGTTGGTGTTTGTTGAATGAATAACTAATTGAGAAAAGTGAGTCCTCTTTAGTCCTACACGTTCCAGTCATATAGGACTACATGCCACGTACCAGGCTGAGCCTCAGTTTCCTGATTTATAACATGAGGATAAGACCTACATTTTCAGATTGTTGAGAAAATAGACTAATAACTATACGTGAGGAACGTAAACTTTTTTCACTACCGCACATATAGGTGCTCGATAAATGTTAGATTTTTATTACAGGGTAATATTACCATTCAGAAGGTAGGTATAGCCTTAGGCTCTGGAGTCAGATGTAGGCGCTGAGGCGTCCTCACGTCCGTGGAGCTCACATTTTCATGGGGAGACAGACACAGAGGTCAAAATAAAGACACCGACAGGCAGTACTGCCTTCTGCGCAAGCAAAACAAAGCAGGAGAGGGATGGGAGCCGTGCTATTTTCAGTGTCATGGTAAGAGATATCTAGAAAGTAGCATTTGAGCAGAGAGCTGAAAAAAGTAAGGCAGAAAACCATGGGGGTCCCTACGGGAGGGATTTCTAGGTAGAGGAAACAGCAAATGCGAAAAGTGAGCTGGCAGAAACTGAGATTCGCTGGGTTCCAGGACCAGCCGGCAGGCTTGAGTGGCTGGAGTAAAAAGGTGGGGGAAGAGCCGGGAATGACGGGAAGTGGGCCCTACATCCTGGTCAGGACTTCGGCCTCTGATATGTGTGAGGTGAAAGCCCTGGGAGGAATGTGATCTGACTGCGATTTTATCAGAATCCCCTGGCTCCCCCGTTGGGAGCAGACCATAGGGAACCAGGAGGAGAACAGGAGACGACGGGGGAGGCTGCTGGGCTAGGTGAGAGACTAGGGTGGCTGGACAAGGATGATGGCAGGGAAGATGGTCGGAAGTGATCGGGTTCTGAAGATATTTTAAGGTAGAGCCTGGAGGGATCAGCTGATAGATTGGCCTTGGAACGTGAGAGAAAAATGAGGCATTGAGGATGACCCCGAAGGTTTTGGCCTGAGATCGGGGAGATGCAGGAAGGGGGCCGAGAAAGAAAAAAAACCCTAGAGATTCCATTTTCATCATATTTGGTTGCAGTTATGTATTGGACATCGAATTGTGTGTCAAGTGGGAAGCTGGGTGTGTTGCAATCAAACAACAGAGACCAAACTTGCAAATTCCCCGAGCAGAAATGACCAGTTCAGTCCTACAAAGCTGATTTGAGCTTCTTTCGAAAGACTAACCTGACTTGAATCACGCCTTGCTCATGCATCCTGAAATCATGAGCAAAGCCTGAACTATTTCCCAAGGTAGGTATGAGGTAACCGCTGACCAATTTATTAGTACTTAAGAGAATTCTGCCCTGGCTGGTGTGGCTCAGTGGATTGAGTGCCAGAATGAAAACCAAAGGGTCACCAGTTCAACTCCCAGTGACGGCACATGCCTGAGTTGCAGGCTAGGTCCCTCTGGTGGGGGACACGCAACCACACATTGGTATATCTCTCCTTCTCTTCCTCCCTCCCTCCCCCTCTCTCTAAAAACCACTAATTCATTTAAAAACAAAAACTGTGGAGATTGAGGCTGAGAGGGAAAGAGTACTTTCCGAGCCCCAGGCAGTTCCTCTTAAAGGGCCCACACACAGACGTGCTTGGACACACTCCCTCCAAGCTCCAGCTCTGGGGCAGCAGTTCAAAAGGCCCCAGGGACACAAGGGGAGGAACTGAAATTGTCTTCGCAATGAGGGCTGAAAGGGCAGCTCCCTCCCAACAGAAGTTCTGGCAGACACCATTGTGCCTTTGCTGAGCCCTCCCCACACAGAACGGGCAGGCGGGCGCCATGACTGGGTCTCCATCACCTGGCTCACACAGTTTGCCAGGCCCTGGTGATTCCCTGAGGCTCCGCCCCACCCAACTTGTGGGCCCACCCAAGCTCTTTCCAGCGGCTGTTCCATACAAATGACTTCCCTTGGCTCATGCTCCAGACTTTCCGAAGATCTCTCAAACGAGCATCATCTGGCCTCAGTGTGCCTCGTACCTCTTACGAAGTGGCCCCAGGCCTGGCACGTGGCAGCGGCCTTGGTTCCCAGCTTGGCTTTGCCTGGGCACCTCCAAGCCCAGCACAAGGAGCAGCCATCTACAGATCCATCTACTAGTTGCCGAGTTCAAAACACTGTTATAAGGAAGCTCAGCTTAGTGAGAACTTCTACAGCATGAAAAAGGGACAGGAAAACCATTAAAAAGGACCAATCAGAACTGAAAGATACACTAACTGCAATGAAGAATAATTTACAGAGAATAAACAGTAGATGAAACCAAGAATTAAATCAGCAATTTGGAATGTAACAAAGCAAAAAACACCCAATCAGAACAGCAAAAAGAAAAAAGAATTAAAAAAACAAAGACAGTGTAAGGAGCCTCTGGGGACAACTTCAAGCAGTCCAACGTTCTCATCATGGGGGTGCCAGCAGGAGAAGAAACAGAGCAAGAAATTGATAACTTATGTGAAAAAATAATGACAGAGTCCCAGCCGACGGGTGTCATCCCGCAAACCAAAAGGTCGCCAGTTCGATTCCTGGTCAGGGCACACGCCTGGGTTGCTGGTTCATTGCCTGGTCTGGGTGCGTATGAGAAGCAACCAATCGAAATTTCTCTGTCATATCAACATTTCTCTCCTTCTCTTTCTCCCTCCCTTCCCCTCTCTTTAAAAATGAAGTGTAAAATAAAATACTTGCCCTGGCTGATGTGGCTCAGTGGATTGAGTGCAGGCCTGTGAACCAAAGGATCACTGGTTCAATTCCCAGTCGGGGCACATGCCTTGGCTGTGGTCCAGGTCCTCACCTGGGGTCGTGCAAAAGGCAACCACACGTTGATGTTTCTCTCCCTCTCTTTCCCTTTCTCTAAAACTAAGTAAATAAAATTTTTTAAATAAAATAAATGTTAAAAAAAAGATCTGAACAGGTGCAATTCTAGAGCAGCCCTGCCTAACAGAACTTACTATGACGATGGAAATATCCTGTATCTGCTCCGCCCAGTAGGGTCGCCACCAGCCACATGTAGCTACTGAGCACTTGATCTGTGGCTGCTGCAACCGAGGACTAAATTTTTCATTTTAATTCATTGGATTAATCTCTACTTGACTAGTCATAGACAGCTAGTGGTTACCACAAACTGGGCAGCACAGATCCGCGGAGTTTTCCAGGCATTGGCAGCAGCTTATGAAAAAGGCCAGAGGTGGGGAAATAACACTGCCCTGAGGGTCTGTGTTAGTTTCCTGTGGTTGCTGTAACAAGTTGCTACAATTTACTGACTTAAAACAACACAGATTTACTCCATTAGAATGTGGGAGGTCAGAAGTCTGAAGCCAAGGCATCTGGGAGTCTGTTCCTACCCAGGCTTTGGGGGCAGTCCGTTTCCCTGCCTCTTCCGGCAGCGGAAGCTGCCGGCACTCCTGGGCTCCTGGCCCCTCCCTCACATCCTTCCGGCATCTACTTCCTTTGCCACATCTCTCGGTGCTGACCCTGACCACCCCCCCCACTTCCCTCTAAGGAGGACGCTTGTGGTGACACTGGACCTGCCTGGGTCATCCAGGATTATGTCCCCATCTCAAGATCCTGGATGTGATCACATCCGCAAAGTCCCTTTTGTCCTGCGAGGCCACGTGTTTGCAAGTTCGGGGATTAGGACATGGACGTCTTTGGGGGCCGTTATTCCGGCTGCTGCAGGGTCCGAGCACCCAGAATATAAGTGTCCCCTGGTGGAGAGAGGTCTCCGATACGGAGCTCTGGAGCTTGGATGTGACCTTTCCTTCAAAACTGATCCATAACCTGTCACCTTCTCCCCAGCTGTGCTGCTGTCACCCTGATCCAAGTCACCATCCCCTCTTGCACCTCACCGCCCTCTCCTCTCCACTCTGGTCAGTCTCCACCAGCACCCAGAGGGGTCCCATTAAAATCCAAGTCAAATCAGGACCCTTCTCCGCTCGGAATAGGGTTGCCTGATTCAGAAAACAAACATACAAATAAACAAACAAACAAAAAATATATATATCAATTTGAATCTCAGATCCACAAGTAATGTGTTAGTATAACAATAGGTCAAATATTGCATGGGACTTACTCGTGCTAAAAAGATCTTTGTGGTTATGGTGTATCTGAAGCTCAAAGTTAATTGGGCGCTTTGTATTTCACCTGGTCTCAGTAGCTCAGGACACTTCCGTGGATCCCCAAACGCCTTGCTATGAACTAGAAGGCTTTGCAAGTTTGTGCTCCCACGCCATTCCCTTCATCTCACACCTCTCTCCTTCCCACTCTCTCGGCTCCATCCACACTGGCCTCGTCATGGTCCTGGGGAGGATGCCAAGCACATTCTGCCTCAGGGCCTTTGCACGTGCTGTTCCCTTTGCCTGAAATGCTTTTCTCCAGGTTTAAACATGCCTCTTCTCTTCCTTTTCCAGATCTTGGCTCCAATCCCACTCTACCCCAGGGGCACATTCCCTGTTTCTTCATTTCTTTGGTTATTGTCTGTCTTTCTCTATAAGAATGTCAGCTTCCTGAGGGCAGGGACCTGTGTCTGTTTTGGTCACTGCCACATCCCAGTGCCTAGAATAGGGCTTTGCACATAGCAGATACATAATGAATGTTTGTTGAGTGAATAACAGAATAAATGACAATATCATTAAACCCTTGGATCTCTCTGTGCCTGAGGCCAGATTTGTGACATGGAATAGAAGGATGCCAACCAGTCTGCCTCTGGCCTACACCTCCATCTCTGAGACCAGGTCATGGCTGGTGGACTTCTTGCTGACCACGCTTTCATCCTTGCTCCATGAGTTCTTCAGGGCCCAGCGACACGTGGCTGGCAATGACCGGTAGAGCTGAGCCCGCCCGAAAAACAGGAAGAGCACAGGATTGAGGCAGCTGTGAGCAAGGGCAAGGCCCACGACCAGGGGCTCGGCCCGCAGGGCCTGGGTCAGGAGCAGGGAGTGTGGGGCAGCCGCAGTGAGTACCAGCCCCAGAATGTGGTAGGGGGCCCAGCAGACGAAAAAGCCCACCACAACGGCCGTGCCCAGTGGCCAGCAGCGTGGGGCCGTACGGCACAGGAGGGCACCATGGCAGCTGGCCACAACCACCAGCGGCCCCAGGAAGCCAAAAGTAAACCGGGAGGCGGTCACAGTGATCTCAGTCGTGGTCGAGCCGCCGTAGTCCACCACACACTCCAGCAGGGGCGGGAAGTACTCCTGGTGCAGGCGGCGGTGGATGGCCGAGGGCATGGTCAACAGCAAGGCCAAGGACCAGGCCGCCCCACAGGCTACCTGCACCCGGCACGCCCTCCGGGCCACAGCCCAGCTGGTGGGCCTGAGGGCCAGCAGGCAGAGGTCCGCGCTGAGAGCAGCCAGGAGCAGGACACTGGTGTACATGGACAGCAGGATGAGAGAGGGCAGGGCTCGGCAGCCCACTGCCCCGTAGGGCCACTGGCCTCCACGGGCGAGGGGCACTGACAGGAACGGCAGGGACAGGCAGCAGAGCAGATCCGCCACAGCCAGGTGGAGGAACCAGGTGGCGCCCACCCTCTGCCGGGCCTCCTTCCAGGTCACCCAGGCTAGCACAGCATTGCCCGGTGCCCCGACCAGGAAGACTGCGGCGTACAGCAAGAGAGAGGCCACGCGGAGCGGCTCCACAGAGACACAGGTGTTGTCGTCGCAGTCCACAGGGAAATCCAAAATATCCTCATAGTGCCCATACTCGTAGACGAGAGAAGTGTTCTCCATCCTGGCCGTCAACACCTGGACGGGAGGCAAAAGCCAGGAAACCTCAGTGATGAAAACCATCAGGCCCTTGGGATCCTCAGTGTAGAAACTCCAGCCCCTCAGTATTTTAGAAACTGGGGCCCTAGCTGGAGTGGCTCAGTGGTTGAGCACTGGCCTGCAGACTAAAAGGTCACTGGTTCGAGTCCCAGTCAGGGCACATGCCTGGGTTGTGGTCCAGGTGCCCAGTTGGGAGTGTGAGAGGCAACTAATTGGTATTTTTTTCTCTCTCTCTCCATTTCCCTGTCTCTGAAAATAAATAAATAAAATATTTTTAAAAAGAAAGAAACTGAGATATGACAACGTTAGAACCATAGTGTGTTCGAATATTGGAATTCTAGAAATACCATTGGCCCTAGCTGGTTGGCATCTTGGGATTCTAGAATATTCTATCCTAGAACCCCAGTTAGAATATTGTAATTCTAGAATGCAAGTGTCAGAACATCAGCTGGGATCATTCTGAAATTCTAACACATGATAGTGTTAGAACCCAGCTTGGGAGTATCTCGGAAGTCTGGAATATTATAATGCCAGGATACGATCGTGATTGGAGATCTTGGCATTCAACCCATGGAAGTATTAGAGCCCCAGCCAATGGCCCTTCGGAATTCCAGAGCAGCTCTGCCCACTCTGTGGAGCTGTCCACGCTGGTGGCCATGATCTGCATCTGTGCTGTCCACCGTGGCAGCAGCCCACCGCAGGGGTGACACTCCACAGGGGTGAGCACTTGAAATGGGGCCAGGGCAACTGAGAAACTAAACTTGCCATTTTGCATAGTTTTCATTAAGTTAAATAGCTACACATGGCTAGTGGCTACGTTACTGGACAATGAAGTTCTGGAGCGCTGACAGGTTAGAACACTCACCTGTTAGCAACACGGAACTGCAGATTTTAAAACACTGGAATCCCTAGCCAGGTAGGTCAGCTGGTTAGAGTGTCCTCATAATATGTATTCACAGCAAAATATATGACTTGGTTCTTTTTAAAAGTATTTATTTATTTATTTATTTATTTATTTCTAGAGGGGGAAGGGAGGTAGAAAGAAAGGGAGAGAAACATCAACGTGTGATTGCCTCTCACACACCCTCTACTGGGGACCTGGCCACAACCCAGGAGTGCGCCCTGACTGGGAATTGAACCAGGGACCCTTTGGTTCGCAGGCCCTCACTCAATCCACTGAGCCACACCAACCAGGGTAATTTTCTCATTTAAAAAAAAATAAACATGCAATCATAGTAAAACATGCAGACAGCAAAGCACACACCTCACACAGGTACATTCGGGTTTCTCCACCTGAGCACACCCAGGTCACTGGCAACCAGGTGGAGAAACAGAACATTTCTAGAACCCTCCTAAAGCAACTTTTACAAGTAATGATAGTGTTAGGTAAACTGGAAAAATAAAACATTGAATTCCCCACAATGTATTCCTTCATTCAACACAACTCCTGACCTTCTCCTCTGCGGTCCCTGGACACACAGCAGGAGACAAGACAGACCGAAACCCCATTCCCTGGGAGCTGCCACCCCAGGGGGAGGAGTCAGACAGTAAAAGAACACATAAGCGAACCCCCAGCATTTCAAATGCTACAGCAAAAGGCAGGGAGGGGGCGGAATCCCACAGGGACTTTTTAATTTGCTGTGTTGGAATTGTGGATGAGTCATGAGAAAGCGCTTCTCTGACAAGGTAGCGTTTGAGCAAGGCCGTGAAAGAGATCAGGGAGGGAGCCGTAGGGGAGTTTGGGGGAACAGTTCCAGGCAGAGGGAACAGCCAGTGCAAAGGCCCTGAGTTAGGAGTGTAATAGCCGTGTTCCAGGAACTTCAACAACATCCGTGTGGCCTGAGTGGAGTAGACGAGGGGGTCAGGGGAGGTAAGAAGAGAGAGATGTGAAGGGCCATGTGGGACACTGAGGACTTTCTATTTTATTCCGTGTGAAATGGGAGGGATGGGAGGTACTGAGCAGAGAAGCAACATGATCGATCGCAGCAATAACTGTTGGTGTTGGTATGATTATTAATATATGTTTATCCTCACTGGAGCACATCCTTTTTTCATTGCTTTTAGAGAGAGAAGAAGGAAAAGAGAGAGAGACATCGATGTGAGAGAGAAACATCGAGAAGCTGCCTTCCTGCACAAGCCCCGCCTGGGGAATTGAACCCGCAGCCCATGGATGTGCCCTGACCGGAAATCAAACCTTCAAACTTTGGTGTACGGGACGACGCTCCAACCAACCGAGCTACATCAGTGAGGGCTGATTATGAATATTATTATTAGAAGCCATCATTTATGGAGCCCTCCATGTTACGTGCCAGGCATTGCTCCAAACACCCTTAAATATCATGTTGTTTAATCCTTATAACAACCCCCTGATTTTAACACCATGGTTATATCCACTCTGCAGATGAGGAAATGGAGGCACAGAGAAGTTAAGTAACTTACCTACGATTACTCAGCTAAGCAAGTAACAGCACTGAGTTTCGAACTATGTCACCCTTAGGTACAGCTCTGGGCCCTAGAATATGATCATCCAAAAATCTTAGATCCGGGAGACAGTGCAGCCAGGGGCACGGAGCCCACCCAGGTCCTGTGACTCGGTTCCAGTTTAGCCTGTCTTTCTCTTGGTTTCCTTGTCTGAGCACTGAGAGCCACCCAGGTGAACCGACCTCGCCAGTTTTGGGAGGGACTCTGCACAGAGCTAGGGCTCAGGGGAAGGTAGACTTGTCAGAACCACCCAGCCCCAAGCACAGCCGACTCCTAGGGCCGGCTGGCCACGCCCCCAGCGCTCGGCCGGGGTTGCTGCGCAACAGGAAAGGCAAAGGGGAAATTGGGGCAAAGGCCCCTCCATCCTGCCTTAGGTGCATTCAAAGCTAAGTAGCCTGTGAGAGGCCAAGCCCCTTTGTGTGTATCTGTATGAAGTCTGACACTCTGTTTTCATATTATTTTATGTATGTATGCATTTATTTATTTTTAATCATTGACTTGAGAGAGAGAAGCATGCATTTGTTGTTCCAATCGCGCACTCATTGGTTGCTTCTTGTAGGCACCCTGACCTGCAACCTTGGGATATCGGGAGGATGCTAAAACCAAGGACCCAGCCAGAGTTGTTTTCATATTATTTTCATCACTAGAGTGAAAACGTGTGTGGGCTTTAAAAACTCAAACCCTGCCGTGTGGCTGGTGTGGCTCAGTGGCTTGAGTGGCGCCCTGTGAACCGCAAGGTCACGGCTTCGATTCCCAGTCTAGGCACACGCCTGGGCTGCAGCCAGGTCCCCGGTTGGGGACATGTGAGCAGCAGCCTAGGTTCCCGATGCTTCGTCAGCGTTTCTCTCCCTCACGGTGAGCATTACTCATCTGTCAGAGTCTGTCACATGCACACCCCGCCCCGTCTGCTCTCCGGGTGTGTCCTCTCTCCCCACTTTCCCCAGATCTCAGCAGCTAAAATCCAGGGAACTCCCTGCGTGGAAGCAATTCAGGTAGGTCTCTGGATGTTACTTCCCTTTTCATGTCTCAAACAGAAATGGGAACATTCAACGCCCACTGTGTCTTCCCTTCATCTAGACCGCTCCGCGAGTCTAGGTCTGTTCCCCTCCCTGCACCGCCTCACCCCCTGCCTTCACGCCGGCTTCAAAGCCAGCCCACCGTCCCAGCGCGTCCTGCTTACTCACCAGCCTCAGACCAAAGGTCACTTAACGATCATCGACGAGCAGCATTATTATTCTATACAATGAATTCTATTTGCAAAACATCGCAATCGTAACTACCTGATTAATATTTTATAACAATTTAAATAATAGATGACATGTACCGATCACCTACTATGGGCCAGGTGTAACCTGTGTACCGACCGGCCCTATGAAGTAAGTGCCCACTATTATCGCCCTGTCCCCGAATGTCAGGGTTGTGACAGTCCTCCCCATTTCCCAGAGCCTTGCTGTGTCGGGCACCCGGCACACAGCAGGTGTGCAGTTGATAATTAGTGAGTAAAAGAACAGAGAGAGAAACTGAGGCACAGAGAAGCCAGGGGGTCACTTAGCTTTCTATCTGATCCTCACAGAGCGACAGCACGTGGCTGTTTGTCTATCAGCCGGTCTGGCTGGAGCCGCTGCTCTGGGAAACCGTGGGGCACAGGCCACGGAAACTGAACGCACGAGAGAGACCCAAACACACGCCCTGGCAGGTTCAGCAGCCCGAGGCGGGAAAGCACCCCGGTGCTCACCCACGGGAGCGTGAGTAAACATACCACAGGCTGTGCGTGCATCGGAATGCTGTGTGGCCAAGAGAACAGACGTGGAAGGGGGTCCTGTGCAGGGGAGAGAGCCAGACGCACGGGAGAATTGACTGGATGATCCCATTCACATAAAGTTCAAAAAAGGGTAAGAGAGCCCTGACCAGTGTGACTCAGTGGGTTGGGCATCATCCTGCAAAGCGAAAAGTCGTGGGTTCAATGCCCCACGAGGGCACATGCCTGGGTTCTGGGTGGGGTCCCACATCGGGGCGTGTATGAGGTAACTGAATGATGTTTCTCTCTCATGTTGATGATGTTCCTCTCCCTCACTTTCTCCTTTCCTTCCCCTTTCTCTAAAAAAAAAAACAACAACCCAAAACTCTTTTTGTAATGAGCAAGAGTATTCTATGGGAGGGGATAGTGACAGGGGGTGGGGACCACAAGGGGCTCTAAGACTGGGCTCTTGCTCTTTCTTGACCCCGGGTGCCAGCTACCTGGGGACACACAGAGCTGTCGGTCCCGACGTGCATGGCTTTCTGTGTGTGTGACACAGGAAAAGAAAGTTAAAGGACCCTTCTTACGCTGAAGAGCTGGCTCACGGGCCACGGGGCCATTTGGTAGCGTGCACAGCTGGCACAGGTTTGAGGGTGACTGTCCCCTGGACCCCTGAGTGTGCCGCTGTGTTTAGGTCCCGCGCCACGCTCTTCTGCCGGGCTGGCCAGATCTATCTAAGGGACTGGGGTTCCAGTGTGCATTCCAGTGTGATAGTGATCAAGATTCCATTCCTCAAATTCAAGTTCTGATGCCCAGATCCTGACAAGAATCCGTCTCCGAGGCTGAGATTGTGACATACCAGCCCCCTTCCTCCTCTTCTCCTTCCCTCCATCCTTACCGTCTCTTGCAAGAGGGTCTCCAATTTGGCCAAAATGTCACTCGGGAGCAGGATCTGGACCCACAGCCAGGACCCTGGAGGTCTGGGGTCTCTCCGGAGCGTCTGGTGCCTGGTGGCTTCCTGGGAGTGTGTCCCTTTGGCCAGGACCCCTATGGGACATGGTGAACCTTCAGAACCGGGAAAAATGGGAGTGTCCTCTCCCCACTCCCACGGTGTGTTTGTCCTGTATGACTCACACGTCCCCAAATTACCGGGAAGCAGATGAAGTCAGAGAGGGCGGGTGGCTGGAGAGTGGACAGTGTCCTCAACCCCAGGCTGTGTCACCAGCTTCCTGGAAGGCAGACCAGCATCGCAGAGGCGTGGAGGTCTTGGCTGTCCCCACACGGCCCTCCGAGGTCTTCCGCACCAACCGCGCACCGCCTGCTATCCCCGCTCCCAGGCTCCGAGCTCATGCCCAGCCCTTCCTATCTGCCCTGCAGAGAGCCCCAAGGACACATAAATGTTTGTCTTTCCTCTACTGTTCTGAGAGATAGTTCCAGGTCCTGTCTGTTAGGCAGGGTAAATAGCAAACCAGGGCAGGGAAGGGGTGGAAGACGTGTCTTGCCCACAAGTTCAGCAATCCTGGGCCTGGGCCGATACGACAGCCACGTGTTCCAACGTCGCAGAAACACTACAATAGCGCAGGAGGAGGGGAGCCCTTGAAATGCTGTGTGTATCGTTCCCACCAGCCAGGGTCGGGGGAGAAATCCTTCGACACCATGCCTTTGCCCCAAAGTCTGGAGCAGGGAAGAGGAGGGGGAACCCAGAAGCTGGCTGTAAGCATAAGACCCCTAAAGCCCCAATAACGGGGCACTCACACTAGCCAGGTGCCTGATTGTAGCTTCGAGCTCAAGTGTGTTTCATAAATAAACTTGCTGTCTCGTTTCCACTATACGTGTTGTCTCTCGCCTGAATTCTTCTCTTGTGAGCAAAGCAAGAATCGAGGAGGGGGGATCGCTCTCACTGGGGTCTCTGCAGTAACACTGTCCTCCAGGAAGAAAACTAAGGCTGCTGATTACAGAGCCCGAGTCCTCAGAGCCAGACGGAGCACAAACAAGTCTTGTCTCTTCTGTGGGCCTCAGTCTTCCAACTTTGAAATGGGAAGATGTTGCTCTGGCCCGGTGGCTCAGCTGTTCAGAGCGTTGTCCCATACACCAAAAAAGGTTGCGGGTTTGACCCCTAGTCGGAGCACATACTTAGGTTTTGGGTGTCCCCGGCGGGAGCAGGTACAAGAGGCAGCCGATGGATGTCTCTCTCACATCGATGTTTCTCTCTCTCTCTCTCTCTCTCCTTCTAGTCTCTCTCAAGTCAATACACATATTCTCAGGTGGGGATCAAGATGAAAAGTAAATTGCAGACACACCTACTTCTCTCCACTGGTGGGTATCTAATAGTCACAATGAACACGTTCAGCACATAGAAAGGGAATTTGGGGGACACAACTACCTGAGGGGCTCCGTGGTCTCTGCTCCGGCGGGTGGGTGCCCCCTGAGGAGACTGGGAAAGCTCACTCTGATGTTGCAAAGGTATGTTCTCCTCGGTGCAAAAAGCCAACAGATGGGCTCACTTAAGGTACAGGCTGACCTTTGTCGAGGAACCTACTGGCCCAGGACATCACTCTCACTGCGACTTGCTTTTAGTTAGGAATTTCTGCATTTGGACCATCCCAGGTGGTTTCTGCAGGTCTCTGAGTCTGTACCGCCCCCACACAGGCCCCCCACCTGGGGCTGGTTAGGGTGAGTCCAGGCCCCGGGGTCCTCACAGTGCTTCAGAGGCTGAGGGCACAAGTTGATAAATTTCTCCGGCTTTTCGGAGAACAAGAGCGTGCTGTTAGAGGAAGCCGTTTTTCACACAGGAGACTGGGAGTTGCTAGGTGACCTGGGACGTTTCCAAGTCTTTCTCTGAGGGACCCTGTCCTGGCTGAGCCCGGCCTCAGATCCCCTGTGGAGACAAGCATTCCCTCTGCCCCCTTCCCCCCAGCGCCCCTTCTGGGAAGCCCCTTCTGTAGGAACCCTCTCTGGTCAGAAAAAGATTAGAATGGAAGGAGCTGAGGGTGAGGTCCATGGGAATTTCTATCAGCTCAGACTTCCTTTGATCTGGTAAGTTTACAGACTGTTTCCAGATCATTTGACCTTTTGCTTTTAAAGATTTTATCTATTTATCTTTAGATAAGAGGGGAAGGGAGGGAGAAAGAGAGGGAGAGAAATATGATCTGTGGTTGTATCTCACACACTGCCAACTGGGGACCTGGCCCACAACCCAGGCATGTGCCCTTATGACTGGGAATCGAACTGGTGACCCTTTGGTCTGAAGCCCACACTCAGTCCACTGAGCCACACCAGCCAGGATGAAGATCATTTGATCTTAATAAACTCCTCAGCCACTGAGTCTCTGGGCATGTGCTTCTCAGATTCTAGAAGGCTAAGGTTTTCTGGCATCCCTGAGGCTTGGGGCCCAGGCCTTGGAGATAGCGGGCTGAGGACAGGGTCTCTGCACATCAGCACGTGGAGGAACTTGGAATGAGGACACCCTAGAAAGTTGTTAAATTGACCCACGTGAAATTGACATGCAGCAGGTTCAATTCTGAGGCAAAAATCTATAGCAACAGAACACAGGTTAATGCTTGCTAGGAGGAGCCGGGGGCTAGGAGGGAGCCGAGGCAGTGACTGCTTGATGGGTGTGGGGGGGTTACTTTGGGGGTGACAAACGTGTCCTGGAACTAGACAGTGGTGAGGCTCACTGGAGGGTGAGTGGATGCAGTCTGGCTTCCTCACCCAGGGGTGTGGGTAACTAAGGGAAGCAGTGTTCCCATAGCCTTGGAGGAGCCTGATAACCAGTATTCTCACAGCCTTGAGACTGGGTCCGATACACTGTTCCCATAACAAGAAGTGGGCTGGCATGCGCAGAACTATGTCATGTTATGTAATGTTCTGGCAGTTTGCCAGCTTTGTTCCCCTTTGGTACTTAAACAGGTAGGGACTCCCTGCTGGGGCAATGATGACGAGATACACACAAGGGGACAGGGGCCACGCTGGGGAGTAAGGGCCCTGACATGAGACGTGCAGACAGACACGCAGCTGGCAGTGTGCATGGCTCGCCCACCCGTGAATAAAGGCACACCACACAGCCCAATGGCCCCATGAGAATCTTTCCATCTGCGCGAATACCACGGGCCTGCCCAGCCTTGAAGGGTGGAAACACGCCCACACGGTGTGGTGAATATGCTGAATGCCACTGATGGTGGATTTTACGTTATGCATATCTGACAATTTGTGAAAGTAATAAATAAGTGAAACTTTACACCACCCTCGCCAAACTAGGATGAAGTTCGCAGTTTCACGGAATCCTGGAAGCCTGGAAGGGTGACTGGCTAAGACAAGGAAACTGGTCGCTTTTGAACAGGAACAATGTATCTCTCTGTGATGTTTGACACAGAGATATGGAATGGAATGTGCCAGATGTAAGTGTCAGTTGTAAAGTACAACAATGAAGTCAACATCCTTAGAGTCACCGCCCATCGTAGAGTCTCCGAATGTCCAGGTCAGGGGTCGGTGACTTTTTCAGTAAAGGAGCAGAGAGTGTGTTTTAGATTCTTGCAAGTCAGAAGGACACTCATGGTCTCTGTCACAATTATTCAACTTTCCCGGTACCTTAGGGCAGCCACTGACTGCCTGGGCATGATGGTGTTCCAATAAAACTTTATTTACAAAAAGAAAGGGTGGGCCGGAGTTGGCTCACAGGCAGGGGTTTTTTGACCCCTGATCGAGGTCAAAGACTCCGTCTCAGAAGGTTGGAGCATTGGGTCATGGGCTCTCAGAACACTGGACTCAGAGGTTATGTAACTGAAAGGACCCTATAATGTAAGTCAGAGACTGACTATTTGAATCATGGGATTCTAGAATGTCACTCCAGAACCTCGGAATGTTAGGAGTACAGGGTTCCAGCTGTTCCATGGTAGAATTTTGTAGATGGTCTAAACATTAGCTGAGGAATTCTGACTCTGACTTGTCCTACATGATAGCCACTGGCCACGTGAGCATTTGCAACATGGTTGCTCTCAGTGAGAAGCTGCTGTGAGTGTAAAACACAGATTTCCAAGACTCGGTGCAAAAGAAAAACAAAACTGAACCAAAAAAAAACAGAATGTGAAATCTTGCAATAAAGTTATTTACATTGATCGAAACCAGCCTGTGAACCAAAGGGTTACTGGTTTGATTCCCAGTCAGGACACATGCCTGGGTTGTAGGCCAGGTTCCTAGTAGGGGACGTGCGACAGGCAACCACACATTGATGTTTCCCTCCCTTTCTTTCTCCCTCCCTTCCCTTCTCTAAAAAAAATAAATAAACATTTTTAAAAAGTTATTTATATTGAGCTCCTATTGAAATGATAATACTTGAAATATATTTGAGTCAATGAAATATGTCACCAAAATTAATTTCACCTCATTTTGTTCCTCTTTGCTTGTCCCTTACCTAGCTGTTGGAATTACATTCCTATCAGTCAGAGCTGGTCCGTAGGAACAACTACGCACCCCCCCAAGGTTCTGGGTGTGGTGCTGAGAAGGTCACGTGGCACAGGTGTAGGGGGGAGGCCCTGACCAGGCCTCGGGGAGCCAGATCTGAAGAATAGGTGGGGGAGGGCACACAGCTGACTCAGCCAAGCCCATCAGCTGCTTCTTTTCCCCGTCACTTCCTCTTCCAACTTGTGGAACCAGCAGATTCCTAAGTCACAAATTGGGCAGTCGCCTGCCCCTTCAGCCCACTTCCCTCCTGGGCAGGGCAACACCAGGGAGAGGCTGAAGAGAAGCCAAAATCCCAGTGATTGGTCCCCAAGTGTTTCTAGAAGACTGTTGTGGGGCCCAGCTCTTGGGACAGCATTTCCTTCCCAAATCAGGATGAGGGAAAGATCGCACTGCCTGCAGCTCATTCCTCAAACCAGGAAAGCCAGAGGATGGTCATGGACACAGATAGGGCATGTGGGTGGGGAGATATAGGAAGAAGTCAGGGAGGACTTCCTGGAGGAGGCTGCACCCTAAAGGAAAATAGAATAGGGACAGGGATGGCCTTTTATAAACAGTCCAGGAAGCTGGGAGACCAGGCAGGAGGAGAGGCAGGGACACAAGTGGGAGAGGACAGAGGACTTGGACCAGACAGGGAGTGTGGTGGGAAGGGGGTGCTGCCCAGCAAAAGAATACAGGGGAAGGGAGAGGTTTAGGAGAGATGCCAAGCTCAGTTTGGGTAAGGTGAGTGGTTGGGGAAGCCACGCCCAGAAGAGCTGCTGATGATATCAGGTGAAATTGCAAAAGGGAGCAGCATGCTTAAGAGAGAGCTCCAGAAAGCCAACATGTAAGGGCAGAGAAGGAAACCACAGAGGCAGCAGGGTAGGATCAGGCAGAAAGAGGAACGGAGGAAGGCGCAGAGACAGAGACAGAGAACTGGCCAGGCCTGGAGCCAGTCTGGGCGGAGGGTAGTGGGAGAGATGTTGACAGTTGAGGTAGAAGGAACATCCAAAATGTTCCCTGGGGTACCGGGCGCCCCCCACCCACGTAGCGGGGTGCAGGTCTTCCCCTTGACAACCTTGCTGGCCTGGGAGTCTGCACAGCAACCAATACTTACGATCAAAAACCACACGCGGCCTCTTCTGGAAGCCCAGCAGAGGGACTGTCGTCCAAGGAGCTCCCACAGCACCTTTAAAGAAAAGTCGGACCCAAGGCAGACATGACTGTGTGGAATCCGAAATATCCCGGGCCAGCACCCCACACTGCAGGGGATCCCCTCAACTCCACAGACTCTCACAGAGAGGGTGGGGGAGCCATCCCTACACTGTCCAATCCAGAGGCCACCAGCTCCCGAGCACGTGAAATGGGCCGGTCCGAAGTGAGGCGTGTTGTGCATGTAACACACACACACACACACACACACACACACACACACACACACACACATGGGATTTGTAAGACTCGGTGTCACAGGACAGGGACCAGCCTCGAGCGGGTCTGCCTCAGGCGGGCCTGCGGCGGGTGGTGGCTTCTTGACGTCCTGGAGGGAAGATCTCACAACACAGGTCCACGTGATTGGGAGAGTATGTTTTTATTAAAGCTGGGGGCAGTGAAACAAAGGAAAGATTTAGGAGAGAGAAACTAGGCAAGGCTGCCTTGGCTCCCTACAAACGTTACAGGGAAGAAGTGAGCCAAGCGGGGTCTTGCTGAGAGCTTACTTGGAAGTAATAGGCGCAGAGAGAGAAGTGAGCTACAGTCAGAGAAAATGGGGCCTTGGGGACAGGTTCTGTTACAGAAAAGCGACTCAGACAGCTTCAGGGTTTACGAAGTGGAGTTTTATTCACGCATGTGGACCCAGAGGAGGCAGTCTCCAAATTCTGGGCCCTGAGCTCAGGTGGGGGCTTGCTTATATTCTTGCTGCAAAGGCGGAAGCAGGAGAAGGGAGGAGCTCAGTCACTGGTGGGAAGCGGGCTTACAGAAGCAGAATGTGGGGGTTAGCGTGCGACCTTGAGATAACTGCTATGCAAAAATGGCTACTGCTCAGTTATGTCCTGTCACAGTTCAGGGGGTTAGCCCCAAGCGAGCTGCCACTGCCCACTGCTCCCCTGGTTGCAAACTTTGTGGGGACCCTTAGAGTTTAGGAGAAAGAAAAACGTTGATGCTGGAGTCCCGGCTGGTGTGGCTGAGTGAGAAGTGAAGGGTCACAGGTTTGATTCCCAGTCAGGGCACATGCCTGGGTTGCAGGCCAGGTTCCCAGTTGGGGAGCATGTGAGAGGCACCCACACATTGATGCTGCTCACCCTCTCTTTCTCCCTCCCTTCCCCTCTCTCTAAAAATAAATTTAAAAATCTTTTTTAAAAAATGTTCACGCTGTAGAATCTGCATGGATATGCTCTAGAGTCTTTGTCCTGAGGGTTTTCATCTCTCTTCTCCAGGGGAAATTCTTAGGGGAGGCTTTCAATAGGCTATTCATTAGCTTCCCAGGTGTGTTTTTAATATGCTGATGCATCAAAATGAAAGGATGGGGGATTGGGGTTATTCCTTGGTCTGCTTTACTGCTTTCCTTTTATCCTGGGTCTGTCTGGCTCTAACGGGGTTTTTGTTATTTGCTCCCCTGACTTCATGTGTCCTTGGGTTTGGCTGGCACAGATGCCATTAACTGGGTCTCTCTGCTCTCTGTTTTCCAGACCAGGGAGATTGAAGCTGTGTTCTCTCTGGTCAGGGAGGAGAGGTATGAACCATTTGCTCTCAAGTGTCCCTGGTTCGGGGCAACAGGGTCTTGTGGGTCACCTGCTGGCTGTCAGTTGCTCCAGCTGCTGGGCCTTGTTTTATTTCTTTGTCTCAGTTTCCCCATTCTGCTGGCCCAGGACTTTCCCTAGCTATTTACTATCCTGCCTCATGGGTACCAAAAAAAAAGTAAGTGATCTCATTAATAATTTTTACACTGATTATGTGTTGAAATAAAAATATCTTGGATATGTCGAGTTAAGCAAAATATATTATCAACTATATTATTATTATTTTACACATTAAATAGCACTAAATAGCAATATAAGTATATCATATTAATAGCATTAATATTACTCTTTTAATATTGCCTAATATCAATATAATAATATATTAATTATATTAATTAATATAATTATTATAACCATTAATGTAATGGCTATAGTTGTATTAAGAGTTATATATTATTAATATAACTATTAATATGGTTATAACTATAACTATATAATTAGTTACTCATTATAGTTATAATTAATATACCTGTTAATATAACTTTTAATAGTCATGTTAATTAATAATACAACTATTAATATAGTTAATATTACTCTTCTATATTAATACAGGTACATTATATACATGAATGTAGTATTGTTATATATTTTCTATATTATATAACATAACTATATATAATTTTGGCTTTTCTAAGTAATTTATTCCTTCCAGAGTTTCTCCTATAAAACATAATCATATTAATAAAATCTTCATTCCCATGAAGGTCCACGACCACCTCATGCCAGAATTTGTCCTCTAAAATCTGTCCTCTAATATCGCAAGCAGTGTGCTTTGCACCAAAAAGACAGCCTTTTTTTTTATTTTATTTTAGTCATTGTTCAAGTACAATTTTCCCCCTTTTACTCCCATTCCAGCCCACCCACCCATCCCTCCCCACCTGCCTCCCATTTCCACCACCCCCCAGTTTTTGTCCATGTATCCTTTATACTGTTCCTGTAAACCCTTCCCCTTTTCCCCTGAAATTCCCTCTTCCCTCTTCTCTCCCCTCTGGTCACTGTCAGCTTGTCCTCTATTTCAGTGTGTTTGGTTATATTTTTCTTGTTGTTTTGTTGTTTAGGTTCCTGTTAAAGGTGAGATCATATGGTATTTGTCTTTCACGGCCTGGCTTATTTCGCTTAGCATAATGCTTTCCAGTTCCATCCATGCCATTGCAAAGGGTAGGAGCTCCTTCTTTCTTTCTGCTGCATAGAATTCCATTGTGTAAATGTACCATAGTTTTTTGATCTATTCATTTACTGATGGGCACCTAGGTTGCTTCCAGCACTTGGTTATTGTAAGTTGTGCTGCTATGAACATTGGGGAGCATAGGTTCTTTTGGATTGGTGTTTCAGGGTTCTTAGGATATAGTCCCAGCAGTGGAATTGCTGGGTCAAAAGGCAGATCCATTTTTAGTTTTCTGAGGAAGTTCCATACTGTTTTCCATAGTGGTTGTACCAGTCTGCAGTTCCAAAAGACAGCCTTTTATATTATGTTAATATATATTCTTCAAAGAGAGAAGTGAAGAGAAATAGCATATTTTATGGATGATATAATTATATCGTTTCATATTATATGATTATAAATATTTACATTATATAATTATAATTATATGCATTAAATTAACAAGTAGTTTATTCAATATATTTAATATTTAGTAAGTGTATTATATAATGCATCGATAATCATATAATGTATGATAGTTATATAATTAGCGTTAGTCATTGTTAATATAACATATAATTCTATGACATCATTAAGTAATATATTACTATTATTTCATCTGTTTCTTGTTAGTATTTTATTATTTATTTTTAGAGAGAAGGGAAGGGAGGGAGAAAGACAGGGAGAGAAACCTCAATCAGTTGCCTCTCCCACGTGTCCCAGCCAGGGGTGAAGCTGGCAACCCAGGTAGAGCGTGCCCTGACCGGGAGTCCAGCCCGCGACCTTTCACTTTGCAGGATGATACCCAACGAACTGAGCCACACCAGTCAGAGCTCATCTATTTCCTTTTACTTTTTTTAATACTTGCCTAAGGATATGTTTATTGATTTTAGAGAGAGGAAGGGACACACACACACACACACACACACACACACAGTGCAAGAGAGAAACATCTCCCATAAGCTCCCAGGAATCGAATCCCCAACCAGCTGAGCCACCTGGCCAGGGCTCTTTTAAATTTTTTAAAGTGGCTACTAGAAAATTTAAAAGCACCTACGTGGCTGACATCGTATATATGTTGGCCAGTGCTGGTCTGTACACTATTTTTAGCAAATACATACACAAACACATGCTCACACACACTACACAAAAATGTTTTAAAATCAATTATTCATAACAACATTCCAACATTTATTTTCTTTTCACGATAAGTGGTGCACACTAGCTTTTTACAAAGCCAAACGGTTGCGTGCCATGTGATCCCACTGATAGAACATTCTCCAAAGGGCAAAACTACAGACTTGGTGGCAGACCCAGTGTCGCAGGGGGTTCCGGACAAGGCTGCGGAGGGTGGAGGGAAGTGGGCGTGGCTAAGGAAAGGGGTCACGTGGGCCCCTGGTGGTGCAAGTGTACTGCACCTGCGTTGTTTCAGTGTGGACATACCGGTTGCGATTTCATAACATCGTTTTGCAAGATGCTTCTACTGGTGAAACTAGGTCCAGGGGGCACAAGACCCCTCTGTCTTAGACATACAACTGCACGGGAGTCTATGAGGAGGTCAACAGAAAGTGTTTTAATTTTTTCAAGTGCTGACGCACAGTAGTTTACAAAATAAAAAGTTGAATTCCTCTGTGGCCCCATGGCCTGGAGGTACCGGAACAGTGATTCCCTCCCTTGGCTTTCAAAATGACTTCCTCCCGCTTGACTTTCTTCATAACCACATACCTCATTTTTACTTAACACTTTTTAAAACCCCATTTAAGTAACATTTAAACTTATTGTTTTTCCTGAAATCAACTCACTGACAAAAGCTTAGTAGGTCCATGTACCTTTTTCTTTGTCCTAAGCAAGAATAACTTTAGAGATGCCAGTTAACATTTTTTTCCAACTCTCCATAAAATAAATACATAACCATTAAAAATTATTTATTTATTGACTTTTTTTTAGAGAGAAACATCAATTTGTTGTTCCATTTATTGATGCATTCATTGGTTGATTCTTGTATGAGCCCTGACTGGGAATTGAACCCACAACCTTGGTGCATTTGGAGGATGCTCCAACCAACTAAGCTACCTGGCCAGGGCCCAGAACACAACTATTTTTGAAAAGTTAGAATACTTCCATTCCTCTGTATTCTATGTCTTTGATGTATTTTCTTTACACCCTCTCCGTCAGTGTAAACGTGCTGCTCTCTGGGGGTACTCTTTGGTATATCGGGCTCTCTTAGTTTTTCAAAGTCCCTGGATGAAGAGAAAGATCGTGTGGCCCCAGAAGGAAGTGTCTGTTGACCTTGGGAATGAGGAAGGATGCAGGAGAGTTCACTAAAACAACACTGGCGCACCCAGGCCTGAGTTCAAGGAAGCAGGAGAGAATGGGCCGGAAGGAAGACGGAGCAGGGGGCAGACGGTGGACCGGGAGGCGTCCCCTCACAAGGTCTAGACCTTCTGGGCTGGAGTGTCCACAGTGGAGAGCGTGATGGACCTGGACTCCCTGGCCGCAGACTCCTCAGTCAGCATGTTCCGGATCCTGACGGGCAGGGACTCGAGGAAGCGTGATTGGAAGCCCTGGGCAGCCATCACGTAGATGATGGGGTTGATGCAGCAGTTGATGTAAGCGATGGAGACACACAGGGGATCCACATAGGCCACCTTTTTTACGATGATGGTGTTCCCGCGTTCGAAGGCCATGATCATCCCCGTCACTTGGTAGGGCAGCCAGAGGACAAAGAAGCTGGTCACCACCGCCACCACCACCTTGAGTGTCTTGGGGGAGCGCGTGGTCCTGCGGCTCCATGCCCGTAACAGAAGGAAGGTGTAACAGATGGCCAGCGTGACTAGGGGGCCCAGGAAGCCCACGACCAGCCGTAAGATAGCCACAGCCCTCTCTTTGGGTGCAGGATCCTCACCGTAGTGAACGCCGCACGTTTCCTTGTATGGATAGTGATCTACCTGCACCTTGCGGAACAGGAAGGAGGGGATGCTCAGCAGCAGGGCCAGGCTCCAGGCCACGAAGCACGCTACCCAGGCCCAGTGGGCCTGTCTGTTGTTCTGGCACCAGATGGGATTAAACACCAGCAGAAAGCGATCGATGCTGACGGTGGCCAGAAGCAAGATGCTGGTGTACAAATTGAGCAGGATGAGAGAAGGGAGGATGTGGCAGGCAGTCTCCCCGAAGAGCCAATGGTCATTCTGGAGGTTGGTCACAAACAAGATGGGCAGCGCCAGGCAGGAGAGGAGGTCGGCCACTGCCATGTTAAGAAACCACACGGCGTTGGTGGTGCGCCTGGCCTTGGACCCCGTCACCCAGACCACCAGGATGTTGCCAGGCACCCCCACCAGAAAGACAGCCACGAAGATCACCATGGCTATTATTTTTGGAGGACTCAGCCCGTTGGTGAGGGTAGAGTTATCCACGAGTGTGCCGTAGTCCATGGTGCTGTTGTCATAATCGTAATAATTGGTGATTCCCACGTTGTCCTGGTGGGATCAGAGAGGCAGGGAGAGTGTGAGTCTGCAGGCAGGCGCCAGGGGGCCCGTCAGAGAGCCCGCCCACCCCCTTCTTTGAGCCTCGGGGTTTCCTCCCCCACCCAGGGCAATGGGGGACTGCTGAGGGCAGAGGATCAGCAAGGGGGTCGTACAACCTATGAAAATATAGGGAATGGCAGAAGGAAGGCTCACTTGAGTGTGGTTGGTAGGGTAATAATATGGTGGTAATAATTTATAGTTTTGATTTGAACGTATCACCCCCATTGTCATATGGGTGGGACACTTGAGCGGGACATTTGTTATGTTACAGAATGACATGCTTATGATTTTATAATAAACAGGGGCATTATTTGCGCCAGACCCTGTATTGAAAAGCCCTTCCATGCTGATTGGACTCCCTGCCACCTCCCCATGAAGTCCCCGGATGTCCCCACGACTCAGCAACCAAGTGAAAACAGCCCAGGCCTGCTGCATGCCGTGGCCACCATGCGTGCTGATGGGTCAGTGCCCAGGGCGTGCTGCTGCTCAGGTATTTTTTCCACCACCCAGATGCTTGGATGATGTAACCAGAGTTACCTCCCACCCCTAGAGCACCCACTTCTGCTGTCTCTCATTCACGGAGGCAGCTCTGCTCTGTCTGGGGGTGGCCACCTGGAGAAGGCGGTGGGGCAGCGGTGCCCCCCGTGCCCAGGCACCAGGCTTAAGGGAGAGGGGAAAGACGGGGCACTGAAAAACCAAGTCTGCAAGACAAATAATATCGTGATGCAATATATATTTTTAAAAAGTCTTGGTGTCATTCTTTACTCTATTTTTTAAAATATTTTTTTGCCCTGACTGGTGAGGCTCAGTGGGTTGGGCATCATCCCGAAAACTGAATGGTCGCCAGTTCGATTCCCAGTCAGGCCACATGCCTGGGTTGCGGGCCAGGTCCTCAGTAGGGGGCGTGCAAGAGGCAACCAGTGGATGTTTCTCTTGCACATCAATGTTTCTCTCCCTCTCTTTTTCCCTCCCTTCCCCCCTCTCTAAAAATGAATAAAATATTTTCTATTATTTATTTTTAAAGATTTTATTTATTCATTTTTAGAGAGAGGGGAAGGGAGGGAGAAAGAGAGGCAGAGAAATATCGATCAGTTGCCTCTCATACGCACCTGGCTGGGGACCAAACCCACAACCCAGGCCTGTGCCCCAGCCGGGAACTGAACCAGTGACCTTTTGGCTCCCAGGACAATACCCAACCAACTGAGCCACACTGACCAGGACCATAGTGCAATATTTTGAAGAATCAAAAACACTTATTCGCAAAGATGTATATGTACCTTTATGTTCATTTACAATAGCCAAGACATGGAAACCACCCAAGTGTCTTTCAACAGATGACTGGAGAGAGAAGATGTGGTACATATATAACAAAATCTGACTCAGCTATCAAAAAAGATGAAGTCATGCCATATGCAACAAGCATGGACCTTGAGAGTATCAGGCTAAGTGAAATAAGTCAGACAGCAAAGGACAAGAGCTGTATGATTTCACTTATATGTGGGATATAAAACAAAGCAACAGTACAGCATAGAGAATATAGTCAATAACATTGCAATAACTATGTATGGTGCCAGGTGGGTACCAGACTTATCGGTGGCTTACTTATTATAAAAATATCCAGCCTTGGCTGGTGTGGCTCAGTGGATTGAATGCCAGCCTGTGAACCAAGGGGTCACTGGTTCGATTCCAAATCAGGGCACATGCCTGGGTTGTGGGCCAGGTCCCCAGTAGAGGACACTCGAGAGGCAACCACACATTGATATTTCTCTCCTTCTCTTTCTCCCTTCCCTTCTAAAAATAAATAAATAAAATATTTTTTTAAATAAGGTAAAAATGGAATAAAAATCAATAAAATCTTTTTAAAGAGAAATAGGAATATGAGGAGCTATCCTTGGAGTGCCTGTGCCATTCTCTCAGTCACGTGCTTTTTTTAAACTGTTGGGGGCCCCATGGGACTTGCAACCAGGTAAACACTGGGGAACAAAACCCCTCAACCTGTCCCCAAGGCCGCTTCTCTCTGACTTCTCAGTGAGCCAGAGCAGCCCCGCCCAGGCTCGCTCCTGTTGCTTCTTCTATGCTAAGCCCTTCCCTGTTTCACTGACCCCAGCTTTAATAAACATATTGTAAAATAAAAGAAAGAAAAGAAAAGAAACAGGACTAAGAAATAGATCTTTCCCTTGCTGGAGGGAGGGCAGAAGGCATGAAAGGAATCGAGAAGGATGTGAATTCAAGAACAAAGATTATGGCCCTGACTGGTGTGGCTCAGCAAAAGGTCGCCAGTTCGATTCCCAGTCAGGGCACACACCCGGAGTGTGGGTTCAAACCCCAGTCGGGGTGCGTACCAGAGCCACCAAATGAATGTTTCTCCCCCTCAATTTCCACCTCACCTCCTCTCTCTCTAAAAGTAAATAAATGGAAACGTTTTTCAAACAAAGTCAGTGTGGGGAAAGTCCTTCTTTAGAGAACAATCGAGGAGACTTCTGGCAAGATGGAGGAATAGGTGGATGCACCATACCTCCTCGCACAACCAAGAATAGAACAACAATAATTTACAAATATAATATCACTCAGAACTGTCAGAGGATTTATGTGAATGGAAGTCGGACAGCCAAGAAGTTGAAGTAGACCTGTACATCCAGACCGGTAGGGGACGACGAGCCGGGAGGGCGCGGGTCGGCGGCGTGCGGAGGTCGGGGAAATTTGGTGCAAAATCGGCGCCACAGCCATCCGGGGCGCAAGAACGCAGCGGTGATCCCTGAGTACGCAAGCTGCGGCTGGGGGAACCAGTGAGGCAGCAATTGTGGACCAGGGCAGAGCTCACAGCCCAGGATCTATGGGAAGTGTCTGAGCCCAGGAGAACTGAACTGCCGCTATTGTTCCCACCCGTCCCCGATCCTGCCCCCGCCCCCGCCCCCGCCCCCACATATAACGTCACACTCTAGCGACTGGGGTGCCCAGCCCTGGTGAACAACTAAGGCTCCGCCCCCTACCGTAACAGAGCGACCAGACCGGAAAATAAATAAATAAATAAATAAATAGGAGAGACAGGGAAAGACAAGACATGTTTCCAGCAGAACAGATCAGTCCCCCAGGACTCATCCTTTTGAGCAACCAAGAAATAGCCAATTTATCAGATGCACAGTTCAAAACACTGGTGATCAGAAAGCTCACGGAATTGGTTGACTTTGGGCGCAATTTAGATGAAAGGATGCAGGTTACCATAAAAGAGATGCAGGAAGATACTCGGAGGAGAGCCAATAGTGAAAGGAAGGAATCTGAGTCTCAAAACAATACAGTGGACCAGAAGGAAGATAGAATCAACCAAGCAGGAAAGCATGATGAAATAAGAATTCAAAAAATCGAGGAAAAACTTAAGAGCATCCAGGACACCTTTAAACGTTCCAACATCCGAATTATAGGGGTACCAGAAGGGGAGGAGCAACAAGTGGAAAAGTTATTTGAACAAATAATAAAGGAGAACTTCCCCAATCTGGCAAAGGGAACAGTCTTCCAAGAAATCCAAGAAGCTCAGAGAGCCCCAAAGAAGCTGGACCCAAGAAGAAACACGCCAAGGCACATCATAATTACATTAGCCAAGGTAAAAATGAAGGAGAGAATCCTAGAAGCAGCAAGAGATAAGGGGACAGTAACCTACAAAGGAGTTCCCATCAGACTGTCAGCTGATTTCTCAAAAGAGACCTTACAGGCAAGAAGGGGCTGGAAAGAAATATTCCAAGTCATGAAAGACAAGGACCTACATCCCAGATTGCTCTATCCAGCAAAGCTCTCATTTAGAATGGAAGGGCAGATAAGGAGCTTCTCAGATAAGGTCAAATTAAAGGAGTTCATCATCACCAAGCCCTTATTTTATGAAATGCTAAAGGGACTTATCTAAGAAAAGAAGATAAAGAAAAGACATGTATAGTAAAAGGACAGCAAACTCACAATTATTAACAACCACACCTAAAGCAAAACCAAAAGATACTAAGTAAACAACTAGAACAGGAACAGAGCCACAGAAATGGAGGGCACATGGAGGACTAGCAGCAGGGGGGTGGGAGGAGGAGAGAGGGGGAAAAGGTATAGAGAATAAGTAGCATAGATTGTAGGTTGAAAATAGAGGGAGGGCAAGAATAGTACGGGAAATGTAGAAGCTAAAGAACTCACAAGTATGACACATGGACATGAACTAAAGGGGGGGAACGTGGGTGGGAGAGGGGGTACAGGGTGGAGGGGAGTGAAGGGGGAAAATGGGACAACTGTAATAGCATAATCAATAAAATATATTAAAAAAAGAGAACAATCTACAATAATAGCTGCAGGAGGAATGATAGAATTAAGAAAATAATGGATTTGGGATAGTGATTGTCAACCTCTGATGCAAACCATCAGGTGGAAGATTGACAGCAACTTTATAGTAAACAAGCGGGGCTGGCACCCAAACCCACGAGGCAACCGCAGCACCTCGAGGAAAGAAACAGACATTCCGTTCTATCTGATGTGATGTAATAGAAAGGACACAGCGTCGCCTACGAGTTCCCTGAAAAATGGAACGTGAATCTAATCAAGGCTCTAAATCTAAAACTGCCCATTGACCGGAAAAGCGGGGGAGAGAGGAACCCAGTAAAGAACTGCAGGAGGGACCAGATGCACCCAATCGGACAGTGGGAAACTAGGCAGTGCAAATGGACGGGTTTCTCCCACAGGTCAAAAGCATTTTTAAAAGGGATAAGGGGTCTGGCTGGTGTAGCTCAGTGGATGGAGCGTGGGCTGCAAATCAAAGGATCACTGGTTCAATTACCAGCCAGGGCACATGCCTGGATTGCAGGCCAGATCCCCAGTAAGGGATGCATGAGAGGCAACCACACACTGATGCTTCTCTCCCTCTCTTTCTCCTTCCCTTCTTCTCTAAATAAGTAAGTAAATAAATAAATAAAATCTTTAAATAAAAA